CAGTAATAGTTAATGATGACTACGTTTCGAGCACACTTTATTACTGAAGAAGAAGGTAAACTGCTAGTGTGCAGTTTACCTTCTTCTGTTCGTTTTATCTTACAATCTAACATAGCTAATTGTCCTTGTTCAGGATTCAGTAATCAACCTCACTTACCGAATCCTTGTTCATCAAGTCTACACCCAACACATGCAACAGGAATGACTCATCACGGAGAATACTACTACCAATCAAGTGAAGCGATGAAAAATAATGAAATTATATAAACGAAGTTAGAAAGTTGTGTGAGTAGTGTCTTGATGTGATTATGAGCAGTAATAAAGTGTGCTCGAAGCGTGGTCATCAGTAAATATTACTGTATAACAAACACGCTGTGAGACTTTATCAAAATAAATTTTACCAACAATGGAATAATTACGACTGTACAGCTGATGAAAATTGGAATCGTCGAGAAGAAAATTTCACTTTACTGTTTACGTCTTTTTCTTATGATTCATTTTAGGAATAATTCGTTCTGTATGTGTGCATGATAAGTACATGTGTGATCAAGATGTTCGAAATGTGGTGTGCTAACATATCAGATAACACGTTTCAGATATGTTCCATCCCAAGAAGACAGATGTTGCGAGATGACGTCTCTTTATTTCGTAGTTTCTTTACAACCGCTTTACAACTAACACGGTTCGCAGTAATAAAATAGAATAGAATGTGTGACAGTTACTCATGTACGGTAAACTCAACCACCTACTAATAATCAATCATATTTTAATAGGTCAAATGTTTCATCATAAGCGAAGGCCGAAGTCAATTGTTTTCTGCACACAAACACACACACCCATCATCTTTAATAATGTTTGAGTTGTGAGGGAATGGAATTTGGTGTAGAATGTGAGCATGGTAGCTGGCCAAAGCCTTCGAGCTGTCTATTACATGATTAGATCACCCATGAATGGTAGTTTAATAGATAGATAGCATCCTCTGATACGGAAGTTGTCCTTTCAAGGAGGAAATGTCTATTTATTGCAGCCTGCAACGGATTTCTCGGGTATCCATTAGCCAATTCACTCAAATGCTTAGATGAATATCACTAGAAACAGAGTAATGGAGTTAGTTGTCAGTCGACTCATTATTCTCACAGATATTGAGCGTATCATCCACATATAACTAATTGAATTTTAGATTTTCCCGTCGATTGATTGGACTGAAGTGCTCGGTCTCAGGTTGACATGTCGGCTTCTTGTGCAGCTGCTTCTACGATGTCTGGGCATGTAGTTAATCCAATTAAATAATAATATGACCCGTTGCACAGGAGGTGACTCTCGTGACCCAAGTGGTCTAATGGATAACGCTTTTGTGTTTGAAAGTATAAGAACTGGGTTTCAACCTCGGGGGGGGGGGGAAATCATCACTGACTCACTGGAGAATACAGGTGCATCCAGTGACGAGTCGCAAATAGGACGAAATCCGCATCCTGAATCCACTGCTAGTCACCATCCACCAATTAAATCCACATACAATGTTAATAAAGCCTAAAGTTTCCTAACGTAGCTTCCATTTCTCCCTCTCCCTTGCTTTCTCTTTCCTGCATCTGCTAAGCGAGGTTTAAAAGTGTTATAACTCCATTGCCAATCTGTTATAACTGAACTGAACTGAACTGAATAAATCCGTCGCTATTTAGTTATGTCTGCGCCTGTTAATTAGCATAACGGTAATGGACTCGACTGATATGCTAATACGTCTATTTGTCCGTTGTACCTTCCGATTGACTGAGCCACACAAATATAAAAAGACAAAGGCTGGCTGGCTGGCCTGTGACTGTAAGATATTGTATTATAACTCTCTGTTAGGAAACAAAACATCATATGTGTATATATATTTATTTTATCACAATACAGTTGGCTGACAACCGTGAGAATGGACTGTTCTTATTGGCTAGAAATATCTATTCTGATTGGTTGGCGATCAGACAAAGATCAAGGTCAGACAAAAGACGATGAATTGATCTCACACACTAAATCTCAATATACGTGAGAAATCATACATTAACATAGTAACTCCATCACATGATAAATCATACGATTCCTGAGAAAGGATGATATTCTACAATATTTTATGCTGGGTCCTATCAAAGAGGGCTACCCATTGCGATACCATCAATTTGTTTGTATTATTTCTCTTGGAAATTGAATGTGACATTTTCAGTGCATCTCAAGATGATATCTCTAAATTAAGTGCCACTACGAAGTATTTTGCGCAAACTGCTTAGTCTACTCATGAGTAGTTAGATAGGCGAAGTTCAACAATAGTCCCAGGATTGTAAATGTTCCAATGTCCTTGTGAATGTTCCAATGACCTTGAACGCATACTTGTTGTTGGTTTAGGAAACTTACTATTATTCTACCGCGAAAATGAATGCTGTTCATCTACTGAGATGCAAATTTCACCCAGATCACGTATTTCAGTACTGTCTGGATAATGGATTAATAGCACGTACACGGATATGTACATGTGGTGCTTCTATGAACCTGCAATCGTATTCACAAGTCATTGATGGATATGTCTTTAGATGTACACAGTGCAGCAAACGAATAAGTGTTCGTAATGGTAAGTGACAGTCTCAGTTAATTGTCTTCTAGGGACTTTCTTTGAAAAATCGAAACTCCCGTTGACGAAAATCCTGTTTATGTGCAATTACTGGGTTTTTAAGTCCGGAGTGAGGTCAACAGCTGAGCAGACAGAAAATACTTTGGCATCTACTGTTCAGTGGTTTCAGTTTTGTAGAGATTTAGCATCATGGAAAATGAATAATATTACTCAAGTATTGGGAGGAGTGGGTGTTATTGTTCACGTCGACGAAACAGTGCTGATAAAGAAGAAATACAATCGTGGTCGTGCTAGAGCGAACAGCGTTTGGGGGTTGGGAATTTATGATACCCAAATTCGCAAAGGATTCATTGAACTGATTCCAGACAGGAGTGCGGGCACTCTGCTGCCTATTATTCAGAGGCTTGTTTTGCCTGGCACTACCATACACACCGATGAATGGGCGGGATATAACCAGTTATCGTAACTCGGGTATATACACCATAGAGTTAACCATTCGCATGATTTCGTCGACCCTGTCACCGGAACGCATACTAATTCCATCGAGCGCTTTTGGGGAAGACTGAGAAATCGAATCCGAGCCATCAATGGATCACAAAACGAAGTCATTTTCAGTCATTTAGATGAATACATGTATAGAAATTGTTTTAATTTCAAAACTGAAACTCCTATTATTATTGGAACATTTTTTAACTCATATTAGAGAAAAGTACCCTGTTTGATTTTTTTTTCATGCTTATTATTATTATTATTGTTCCCTTGGGTTCCTAGTGGAACATAGGGCTTCAACTGCACGTCTCCACTTGCTTCTGTCTTGTGCTGTACTTTTCACTTGCGTCCATGTTATTCCATACTGTTTCATCTCCTCCTCACACGATCTCCTCCATGTCACCCTTGCATTGACGTCCCACTCTCCGCTTCCCTTTCGGGTTCCACTCGAGGGCTTGACGCGCGATGTCACTCAACGGCCTCCTCAGCGAGCGTCCAATCCATCTCCACTTCCTCCTGCATATTTGTTGGGCGATTGGTTCCTGTTTCGTTTGTTCCCATAGCTTCTTGTTTGTGATTCTTTCCGGCCATCTAATCTTCAGTATGGAGCGAAGACAGTTGTTGATAAAGGTCTGCAACCTGTTGAAAATATTCTTTGTGACCCGCCAAGTTTCTGATCCGTATAGAAGAACTGACTGACTTGACGTTTGTATTGAAAATTCGAATTTTGTTGTTGATGCTGAGTGAGTGACGAAGATTTCCAGATTGGTTTCAGGTTGATGAATGTGTTTCTCGCCTTCCCGATTCTCGATTTGACATCCTCGTCCGTCCGTTCCTCCTGTGGTTGAGACAATGCTCCCCAGATAAGTGAAAGAAGTAACCTCTTTCAAATCCCTCCCGTTGATGGTGATTGGCACTGGATGTTGCTGCTGTTGTTGGTTGGTTATTTTCATAACCTCCGTCTTGTCTATGTTCACCTGGAGTCCTGTCTTTGCCGCTTCTTCGACCAGTTTGTCGGTTTTTGCTTGTAAGTCTTCGATTTTGTGTGCCATCAAACATAAATCATCCGCAAAATCCAGGTCTTCTAGGTTCTTCACGTCGGTCCAGGATATCCCTGTCTTCTCGTTTCCCACTGTCTGACGCATAATCCAGTCCACTACAATTAGGAATATCATTGGTGATAATAAGCACGCTTGTCTGACTCCTGTGTTTACTCCCAACGCTTCGCTGAGTTTTCCGTTGTGGATCACTTGGCATGTGCCGTTGTCGTACAGTTGTTGAATGAGGTTGATGAATATTTGGGGTACGCCGTAGTACTTGAGTAGTTTCCAAATTACTTCGCGGTCAACGCTGTCGAAGGCCTTCTCAAAGTCTATGAAGTTGAGGTAGAGATTTGATTGCCATTCCATGCTTTGTTCGATGATAATGCGTAGTGTTGCAATTTGGTCAGAACATGATTTGCCTTTCCTGAATCCAGCTTGTTCTGGTCGGAGTTCTGTATCCAGCGCGTCCTTGATTCTCTCCAGGATGATGCGACTCAGGATTTTACTTGGCGTCGACAGGAGCATGATTCCTCGCCAGTTCTTGCAGAGTCCCAGGTCGCCCTTCTTTGGTAGTTTCACCAGGTAACCTTTCCTCCAGTCAGTAGGCACCTTTCCCTCTTTCTAGATCTTTTGCAATAATGGAGTCAGCATATCTGCTGTCGTTTCTGGGTCCGCTTTCAGTGCTTCCGGGGGTATTCCATCTGGTCCAGCTGCTTTTCCAGCTTTCAGAAGCTTGATTGCATTCAAGACTTCAGTTTTCGTTGGAGGATTGGTGTCAACTTGCAGTTGTGTACGTGCTGTTGTTGGTATTACTGGACGGGTTGTAGGCGGTGGTCGATTCAAGAGTCCTTTGAAGTGGTCCGCCCATTGTTTAATCTGTCTTTCTTCTTTGGTAATTGGGTTCCCTTGGCTGTCTTTTATAGGTTTCACTTGTGTTGATCTCTTCCCGGATAGAGACTTGGTTATCTGATATAGTGTCCTCAGGTCCCTTTTGCCTGCTGCCTTCTCAGCTTCAGTAGCCAGGTTGTCGTAGAATTGTCTTTTGTCCTTCCTGGCATTCTTCTTCACTTCTTTGTCCAGTGCTGTGTAAGTTGAGTTCAGCGTCTCTTTCTCTTGTCCATCTTTGCATTGAATCATTTTTTCTTTCACCTTTCTCCTCTCCTCTATTAGTTTCCAAGTGTCTGTTGAGAGCCATTCCTTGTCTTGTTTCTTCTTTCTTCCTAAAACCGCTGAGCACGTTTCGTTGAAAATTACCTTCAGAGAGTTCCAATGGTCTTCCACGGATGATTCCTCAGTGGTGCCACGTAGTGTTTCCTGCTTTGCTCTGACAGTTGCAGTGAAAATGTCCTGTGTGATTGTGTCCTTCAGTTTTTGCGTGTTGAACTTGCATTGTGGCCTATCCCCAGCTATCCTCGAGGCTTTCAGCTTCACCTTGAAAGTCCCTTGTACTAGATAGTGGTCTGAACCCACATCTGCTCCTCTCCTCGATCTTGTGTCCAGTAGGCTCCGTCTCCACTTCCTTGAGATTGAAATGAAGTCTATCTGGTTTTTGGTGTGTCCATCTGGTGAAATCCATGTTGCCTTGTGTATATCCCTGTGTTTGAACACACTGCCACCAATCACCAAATCATTGAAGGCGCAGAAGTCTGAGAAGAGTTCGCCATTTTCGTTCATTTCACCGAGGGCCTCACGACCCATGGTGAGTTCTCTTCCTGTATTGTCTCCTCCCAGTTTCGCATTCATGTCGCCCATCAGGATTTTGATATCGCTCTTTGGGACGTTGTCCATTACTGTTTGTAGTTGACTGTAGAAATCCTCCTTCTTCTCATGTTCTGAGGCGTTTGTAGGCGCGTAGCACTGAATGATTGTAACCTTTTTTCCTTTTGAGTTGAACCTGGCTGTCATTATCCTGGAGGAGATTGGTTCCCACTGCATGAGAGCTTTAGCCGCTGTTGGTGACATCATGATGGCTACTCCCTCGGTGTGCTCGTGATTGTCCTCTGGGTGACCGGAGTAGATTATTGTCTCTCCAGTTGATAGTTGGCTCCTTCCACATCCGTTCCATCTGCTCTCGCAGATTCCCAACACTTCTATTCTATATCTCCTCATTTCTGCAGCTACCTGAGCAGCCGTCCCAGCTTCGTACATTGTACGAACATTCCACGTCCCCATCCTTATTTTCGCTTTCATGCTTATTCATGTAAAAATACGTAAAATTTTATGTAAAAATCATCCTTTTCTCTGAATGGTGGGTTCAAGGTCACTTGTGCGTTCGTTCCTTGGGACTCTATTGTAGAACTTTGCCGTTAGATAGTATATGTAAGTTTTGTCCAAGATTGCTGATGTGTCTCCTATTGGTCGAAATATTTTTAATGATCATGACAGCTTTATTCTGAGAAATGAATTTATATAAAATTGAGAATTTTCAGCGACGTTCATTGCAAGGTATCACACATTGGATAGAGTCTGTAGTGACCCGTTTTATTACTCATCATCGCAGTATACTTTCACTATGTAATTGTACTTTGATTTGTTTATTACTCTAAATCTTGCATGTTAACAATTGATACTTTTTGTACTCGCTCGATTTTTGAATTGTTGATTGCTGCAATAATACACTATCGTATTCCTTCGCAAGTGCCTTTTGAATTACGTTGCGGATGTTGAGTAATCGCAACGTTAGGGCACAATTGTAAACGCGAGGAAATACTAGAAGATACGTGTACTCTAGTTCAATCAAAATATAGCAGCAACAAATTGGCGAGCCCGACATAGCTGATTGATGGACTACATCATTTCGAAGTATACACAGTGGAATAAATCATCTTTGCCATCGCATTAACTTTTATAACTTCATAACATTTGGATGTATAATTACTGATATTTCTGCTAAAAGTACCTCCGGACCTGGTGGCACAGCGACTGCTATCCCAGTTCACCCTGATACTCAAGCAGCTGGGTGTTATGCAACACCTCAATTCCAGTTCTCTGTCCTCAAGCTTCAGCATTGTCTACAGGTGTGCAAACACTCTTACAATGGTCTGCAACTCCATTTACTCAAGCCGGTCCTACAGCTGTTCAATTACAACAGTTTATCCAATCACCTCAACAACAACAACAGATTCAAGCACAAGCTCATCAGTTACAACCAGCTCAACAGCCAACTTATATCCAACAACATCAGCAACAACCAACAATGATGGCAACTGACGTCCTTGTCAGTGGTCAACCTGGTACTGTAGCTGCACGCTCCTATGCTACTCCCCAGTTTATCACTCTGGCACCAGGAGCTCCATTAAAAGTTATGACTGTTGTTCCTAACGGTCAGCTGATTCAAACCACTGGTTTACCACAGCTTGTGCCAACTGCTCTTGTTGGAATGGCTATCAATCAACCAACTTCTACTCTCCAACCTCAGCAAACATCAATTCAAGTTACTCCTCAACGCCGAGTAACAACACCCAGCAACAGCAACAACATGCTGACGGACGTTCACTTTCAACCGTATCAGCACCAGCAGCTACTGCTGCACTCTTCTCTGGCACAGCCATCTCTTCCGGTACAATTCCACTTGTACAACCAGCTTTCATGGAAACAGAGGTAACTGAATGTTTACCCAAGTCATTCCCATACTTCCTTATTACTATACTATTGACTGTATGTTAAGATATAAGTCTATTCTGTAACTCTTTACAATAACAACCTCATTATTATTCTAATAATAATTTTTCTGCTTTTATTGTTACATTTTGCACAACTTTCTAAATATTTCGGTTCGTTTCGAAGTTGTTAACATTTTCGCATATATACAGTTATATTATCAAACCTAAGAAACTTAAAATCCTCAATTCGGTTTTCATAACAAAAACTCATATATTTTTTCTGTGTCATTGTAATTTACAATATCATTCCGAATACAGGCAAACTTCATTTACCTGCATTCTACGGAGGGGCTATTGTAGTGACCCGTTTTATTACTCATCATCGCAGTATACTTTCACTATGTAATTGTACTTTGATTTGTTTATTACTCTAAATCTTGCATGTTAACAATTGATACTTTTTGTACTCGCTCGATTTTTGAATTGTTGATTGCTGCAATAATACACTATCGTATTCCTTCGCAAGTGCCTTTTGAATTACGTTGTGGATGTTGAGTAATCGCAACGTTAGGGCACAATTGTAAACGCGAGGAAATACTAGAAGATACGTGTACTCTAGTTCAATCAAAATATAGCAGCAACAAGTCTTCAAATAATATTGTAATCGGTAATACATTTCACCTGAAGTGATAAGCTTCCATCCAAAGCATTTGCCAATACTATTTCACAGTGTTGTTGATATCACCCGCCATAAAATGGTATATCATCCTTTCTCACGAATCGTATGATTTATCATGTGATGGAGTTACAATGTGAATGTATCATTTCTCACGCATATTGTGATTTAGTGTTGAGATCAATTCATCTTCTTTTGTCTCATCTTCGTCGTTGTCAGATCATCAATTAATCAGGATAGACATATCCAATCAATAAGATACATACATTCTCACGGTCGTGAGCTGACTTTATTATTATTATTATTTCTTCGCTCAATCTTTTGTGTTTTCCAAATGTCTAAATGGGGATATTTTCTATGTTTAAATATAATGTGTTCTTTCTTAAACTATATAGTGTAGTGTAGTATAATACAATATATTAGAGCTCTGTCTTTTGATATTTGCGCGGTGCAATGAATCGGAAGGCACAACGGACAAATAGATGTATCAGCATATCATTCGAGTTCATTACCGTTATAGTAATTAACAGACGCAGACATTGCAAGAGTAAACAATAGATACCAAAGTCGAATGACCTTGAGACAACCAATCAGCATCACAAATGGTTGCTAGTCATAATCCTCGGTGAAAATGTCTCCTAGATTTGGTTTTTGACTTCTCTGTAGAAAATGTGTTGATAGAGTGGAATAAAACATGCGTATATGGAGGGATAATGACTCTGTGAAAGTATTGCCGAGCTATTGATGGTTAAAAATCGAGATGCAACCACTTTATGCGAGGAAGTCTGTATAAGTTGGTAAGTGGTACATAACGGGTGATTTTTTTTTGACACTTTCTTCTCGAAATCAAAGCTCTCCCTTAGCAATAGATTTCGTATATGCAACCCGTATCTGCTACAGCTGGCGAAATAGAGAACACATTGGTTTGATATGTCTATAACCACTTCTGTGAGAGTCTGGGACTAGTTTTTGCAGTATATTAGAGATATATACCCTATAGGATTCATTTCTATAACATGTATATCATAGATACACTTCTTTGTAAATTAAGTATCACTTTTCATCCAGAAGAATTTGACTGGCTGTTTCAAGGTCGTCTATTCTTTACTGTTGCCAGTTATAATTCAGAAGAGTCATTGACTTCCCTGAAAAATTGACTGAATAGCCGTCAACAAACTTAGTCTCGTAACCTGAATATCTTGAGTTTGACCATAGTGGGGTAGTAGTTCCCTACTGATGAAGCATCCTTAAATTTGGGACGAAATAGCTGTCCACTGCTTCCTTGCATTTTCTCTTTCTGAATGATCTCTCCAACTAATGTTAATTCGTGAGGAAAACTGAAAATTCCACTTATCTGTGTTATTTTAACTTGAAAAGTTTTTTTCACTGAATTGGGAGAAAATTTTCAATTCTTTCTTTTTTGTTCTGTTTTTTTGCCTTATCCTCTTTTTGATTAAACGTTTTGAGGTTGTTTTTTTTCTGTTTGCTTTCACTCGCCTTCTTTTATTGTTATTATTATTATTATTGAAAGTATTTTTATTATTCATGTCCTCTGATTTTTCTGTTTTTAAGTAACTTCATTTGAATAAATACTAGTTCTTTTTTTCGTCTTTTTTTGCAGAGTAGTGAGTATCTTTCAGATTTCTACTTCTCTCTCTCCCCCTCTCGGTAAAGATTTGTTTTATGTCTCAAAGTTATTTATTTATTTATTTATTAAGTTTTACTATATCAGAAATGCTAGAAAAATAAAGTATGTTTCTTTCTCGGATCAAATGGGTTTTTCCAATTTAGTTTATATCGCGAAGAGGGAAAGAAAATTAAGCCATACACTGGGACAATTAAATTCTTTTGATTTTGATTGGTTTTATCACAGGATTTCATCATTAGCTGACATCAGTTAGAGAACAACTGTTTCATCACATTCTGGGACTCTTCAGTAGTACGCACTTACTCACTACGGGTGTTCGAACCCTACACCTTCTGGTTACAAGGTTAGTGAGATCGTAGACCAGTCATCAGTCACTAGGACCCGACCCAATGGCCGACTTGTCCATGAATTCTAACTTCTGCCAATTCATGAGGCAGGTCGGTTGGCAGTGTCTTCTTCGATGAGTTACTGCCTCATCTTCGAGCTGCTGTATCCTACTGGTTATGGCCTCTCAATAGAATCCCAGATCTTCTGATTTTAGTTGAAACTCAATCGTAGTTTAAATAGATTAAAACTCCATGATGGATAAAATTTTAAATTGATAAAATCACACAGTTTAGTGTTATACAGTAAGTAATATTTACCGATGACCATGTTTCCAGCAGAATTTATTGCTGCTCATTATCATATCAAGGTCCTCACATATCTTTCTGGCTTCATTTATATATATTTTTTATATTCCTTTACGTTCCCAGTGGAACATAGGGCTTCAAACTAGAGGCTTGAAGTTTCAGTAGCAGTGGTGTGAATTTTTACGGAATGGGGCTCCTAGCCACTCCATGCCCAACCTTGCCTCTTTACCAGTCTTATTACTGGCTTAGCGAGGTAACGGAATGCGTCTGTGGCCGGGAATTGAACCCTAAACCATGTGAGGCATGGTTGGCGAGCATTCTACCGCTGGGCCACCGACGCATACATACACTCCTGAAGATCCTCAACCAAAGGCGAAACAGCTGTGCGCGCACACACACATATACAGATAGGACTCCAGTCCAGTGGTTTCTAATACTTCCAATAGAACTGTGAGCCTCCAACACTTTATGATCAGAAGATAAGATCAGTTATATCTAAAACCAAAGCTCCAATAAATATATATGTTTATAAAGGAGCTGTTACTATGTTGTACCTTCAACGTCTAATTCAGATTCAACGATGAAATCTACAGGTAAACAGATGGCGTAGCAATGGGCTCTTCACTGGGACGCCTCTTGGCCGACTGTTTTATGGTCAGCCTCGAAGAAAACTTCTTGTCATCGACTATCACTGACCTCCATCTTTACAAGAGATCCATTTGTGATGAGAACCTGGACCTTGAAAACTTATTTTAAACCTTTAACAATGCCCACCAAAACATCGTCTTTACTCTTGAAGCGGAATCCGACAGAATATTCCACTTCCTCGACATCTATCTGGCAAGAAACGCCGACAGCTCTCTGAAAAGGTTCTTATACAAAAAGCCTACATGGAATGAACAATTCATCAACTTTCAAAGTTTCGTGCGTCTAAGCAGAAAGAGGAACCTGATATACGCTCTCTTCTCGGAAGATATGCAGCTAGGAAGTGATTGACGAAGAAGTGCGTAATCTCCGAGGAAACCTGATGGGAAACGGTTTTCCGCCTTGGTTCATAGACAAGAATCTCAAACCAAAGAAGACTTCCGAGCAAGTCCAATCCGTCCCGAAGAAGATACTTCTGCTTTTTCTAGAATTCAAAGGTGACACTGAAGCAGAAATCCTTCGCAAACGCCTCTGCAAATCTCTTAGGAAAACATACTTCGCCGCGAGCCTACGACCGACGTTTTCCTGCAAGAAACTGTTCAGCCAGAACGTGAAAGACAAGCTGTCGCATTGGGCCACCTCAACGTGCATATACCAGTTTACTTGCTCGTGTCGAGCTGAGTACATCGGCCCTACCATGCGCCAACTTGAAAGACGCGCTCGTGAACACTATCCAGCCTGTCTAGTAAAAGGAGAACGAAAACGTGTATATAGTTCAGCGACAGAACGTCTGGTCAATTTGGGACATTCGGCGCCATTCGAAAAATTCATCAAAATCCCATACTAGATTCGATCAAAGGGAGTAAAATTAAAACATCTGGGCATAGCCGACGCACTAGCCATCCAGAAGCTCAAACCCACACTAATTATCCAGAAGAAATAGCCCAACGCTTGTCTCTGCCATGGCCATCATAAACAAGCAATTTCTTTAATATTGACTATCCCATTGCCTTTCTTATCCAAACGTCCTGTTTATTCATGTTGTTATTAAGTTTTCCTAATCCCTATTTACACTACCATATTTTCATATCCGAACTTTCTGTCTATTTTGTAGGTTTATTATTTCTACATATTTAATCCCTAACCGCATAAAGAATTATTCATCACCTTAGTTATGATCCCACTAGATATTTTATCCAAACATCCTGTCTCTTGTTGTTATTTTTACATTTCTAACCCCTAATTGCACAATCAGTGTCAATCTTCTCAGTAATTATGATGCTACTTTGTCTGAGCTTTATCCATCCCCCCTGTTTTATTATGGTGTTTTAATTCCTAATTGTTATTTTTATTAATTTGACCCTTAACCGGAAATTATTCTGCAACTTTCAAACCCATTATGGATTATGCGTTAGACTGTTGGCGGCGAGGATTCAGGAATACGCTGCATGACCGATAAGAAGACCCTAGAAGATCTGATTTTCGTTCGTGGATGATTTATGTTTAATATCACACAAACTCGAAGACTTGCAGGCAGGCGAAAACCAACAAACTGGTTGAAGAAGAAGCTGGTGAACACAGGACTCCAGATGAACATAGGGAAGACGGAGGTGAGATGAAGATAACCCACTAACCAACAGCAACAACAACACACCAGCACCAATCACCATTAACGGTGAAGATTTAACAGAGGTTACCTCCTTCACTTATCTAGGAAGCATCGTTTCAACGACAGGAGAGGCGGATAAGGATGTCAAAACCAGTCAGAATCGGAAAGGCGACATATGCCTTCATCAACCTGAAACCAGTTTGCAAGTCTTCTGCTTCACTCAGCACAACAAGATTCGGATTTTCGACGCCAATGTCAAGTCGGTCCTTCTATACAGGTCAGGAACTTGCACTGCGTGTGTATCACGAAAAGGATTTCCAACATGTTGCAGACATTCATCAACAGCTTTTCCCCTATTCGCTGGCTCAAAAGTGAAGATCAAATGGCTGACCAGAGAGAATTAGTAACAAGAAACTCTGGGAGGTGATACACCAAGCAATCAAGAGCCGATTGCCCAACAAATATGTTGTAGGAGAAAATGGAGATGCATACATTGAGGAGGTAACAGAATGACATTGTGTGCCAGGCCGTTGCTCGAGTGGAATCCGAATGAGAAGCAACTAGTGGGTCGTCACTTCGAGGGTGACATGGAGGAGATCAAGTGAGTTGGAAGAGATGATAGATTATGGTCAATCGGGGACCCACCTGAAGAGGACGATAGAAAACAGAACAAAGTGGAGATGTGTTACTGAAGACCTATGTCCCACTCGGAGCGCTAGGGAATAATAATAAAAATAATTCCCACCCATTTATTATAATTACACATGAATGTACAGCCTAGTTGATAGTGACTTCGTCGAAAAGAAAACTTTCTACACTGCAACCGTATTGTTTATTATTCCCTATGATCAAATGTGCATATTCCGTGATTTCAAAAAAATGTATATATAAAAACCATTTCCTTTTTATAGTTTAAAAAATATATATATTTGTATATATGTATATATATATATGCGTGTGTTTTTTATTAATGTGATAATCAATTGAAATCTATGAAACTAGTCCCGGAAACAAAAAGGAGTATATATCAATATGAATAGTGTTCAATATCATCTGAATTTGTTACAGTTATTATTATTTTTATTAGTAATAGCAGTATCTACTGGTACTGTCCTCTTCACATCTGGTTACATCATACTTCCTTGGGTTGAGAAGAAGGAATAAAGGTCAGAAGACTAGTAAGTACGTAAGTACATAAGTAAGTAAGTAAGTAATTGAGTTATTAACTTGTTACTCTCAGATTGTACAATGAGCGAGTGAGTGAGTAAGTGAGTGGGTGGGTGAGTCAGTGAGTGATTGAGTCAGTCAATGAATGAAAGAATCGGAAAACAATAAAAACGGGCGAAGAGTAGTCAACAGAATTCATTGAAGGAGTAATGTATATGTATGTATACGATGTAATGTTTACAGTGTGTTCTTGCCGTGATAAACAGAACTGTTTTTAATTATTTTGGTTATTTCAGCATTATTATTATTATCATTCCCGATTGTTGCTAACATGATGGTGATGATGATTTGTCAAACAGAGCAGAACAGAAGAGAACAGAATAAAGGAACGAGGGGTAGGTGAGTGGGTGGGTTGTTGGTTGGTTGGTTGGTGAGCGGGAAACAAGGTTTATCTCTCTGGGTTAAATGCTACAATTAAAGTTACTCATTATCTAGAGTAGGAGATATTAAATACAAAATAATAACCACATATCGAAGTATATAATAATTGCAGTATCCTTCATCAGTGTGTTTTAATAAGGCCAACAGACAGGCAAACGAAAGGAGACCATGAAAGAATGAAAGTTAGAGACGGGAGGGGTGGGTGGGGAAATTGTTGAAAAGTTTTTGAAGAGATCCAACGTTTTCCAGTAGAAAAAAATCTTGATTTTGTTAGATAAACGCTAAAGGTGAGTAGACTTTGGTTGGGAATGAAGTTGGGGTGGATACTGAGCAATGAAATAATCAACCCAATGAAAATTAAGACATACTACTTTAACTACTGATAAAAATATAAGTAATAAATATGAATAAAGATAATAATAACAGCAACTAATCTAATCTCTAAATAAATGAACTGTAGTCATCACATAGCTAGGTAGATAGACAGATAGATAAATAGGCAATAAGTATCTCACATTGTACATGATATTACAATAATCAACGCTAAGTTGAGTTGGCTAAATGACTGTGTGTGTTATTCGTCTACTTAATACTACTTATAATAGTAGTTAGGTTATCTTCAAAACCTCAAGACTCATTCACTAATATCTTATCATCTATTTACAATTGAGTAAGGTAGTCAGAGAGTGGAGGAATATAAATAAAGAATTGGACGAGAGCGGGGGGAGTGTTTATCTTGGAAAGAATGCATGAAAGCCACTACGTCTAACCGACTGAGCACATACACATGAGCAGAACAAGAAAGGAGTAGGGAAGGAGAATTCACTCGAGACAACTGGCTAAATCTCGCTCCCCGTATTCCATCATCTTGGAAACATTCTACTGAATTTTGTCTTTTTAAAAAAAAGGCGTGCAGGCTACTTTTTTTTCATAACAACATCAACGAGACTAGAGATAGGGCATAAAATCTGTCCTTGCTACAGAGGTGTTACAACTACGACTAATGCGAAAGTCGCTTCATTAAAACGTGTAATTATTTCTAAATTGATGAAATGGTGGGAAGTGGAAACACATTGTAGGAGGGAAAGATGTAAAAAGATGTAATTGTAAACGTAAGATGTAACACGGTTGAATAGGATGAATGGAGAATGCTAAGTTATGAGATTAAATTGTGTAATGACGAAGAAAAAGGAGCAGTATTCATCAATCAATAATAGTAAATACTACTGCTACTAGTAGTAGAAGTAGGGATATTGATCTATCTGTACAATTTTACAAGTTATCACTGACTCACATGCACACACACACACACAGCGAATGCATGAAAGAGTCAAGGAAGAGGTGACTCTTTGATATTAATTAATAATAATAACAGTAATAGGAATGTTAATTTGGTGAATTAGATTATTATCATTATTATTATTATTGAGTGATGATTTTCCTGTGCCTCTTCGTCTGCCGCCTCCTGGCCGGTTCTTTTCTTAAAATATAAATACTTTGAGCATTTAGGTATGACGAGGGAAATTGAAAATTCGTCGGTGTGGTTGGTTGGTTGATAGGTTGATGAATGATGCATGCAGGTTTCTTGATGAATAGTCTCCATGAGGTAGGTAGGTAGGTAGTTAGGTGGGTGGGTGGGTGGTTGAGTGGTTAGTTGTCTCGGATGACGATTGTAGCTCTTGGTAATGTCAAAAAATATGGAATGATATTTAATGTAATTTGGAGTAAAAACAATGAGAAAGAATATATTAAATAGGGCATAAAATAATGCATATTATTGAGCATCGAATGGCCTGTCAGAACGAACTGGTAACACGAAACTCCTTGGAATGAACTAATCAAGAACCGATTGCTCAACAGATATCATGAAGAAAGCGGAGATACACTCAGAGGTGATCATTGAATGACATTTCTTGACAGGCTGTATTCCAAGTGGAACTAGAACGGGAAGCAAGACACTAGTTGGGTGACAGGGTGTTAGACTGTGTAAAATTGTGGCACCCCCCAAAGAGGACCTCATAGAATAAGACATAGTAGAGATGTGCTGTTCAAACCTGATGTTCCACTTGGAACCCAAGGGAATAATAATCTGCCTAGCTTAATCCACATCCATCACTAATCGACCCTAATTTCTGACTAATTAGGTTGATTCAAGCTCAACCTGTCCCTGTTTGAACTCAACTTCCTGGAATAACCTTTTTATGTACCAGACTATCAGCCACACTCATCATATGAAGGCTGATAATACAATCCAGTTAGCCAGACTGAATAAGGTGTAGCCGGCTTGAACCCATGACCTGAAAACCTACTGCTTAGGCCAATGAGCCAAATCTTCACGGTGAAGTGGCTGAGCTATCTAAGGCGCTTGTCTCAGACAGCATTCTGAGGAGGTCTGGGTTTGAATCTCACCTCAACCAAGGTCTTGATACATCGGTGGTCACTAACTACCCGGAATGTCCGGGTTCCGATTATCGGCCGACGTACTCCTAACCCAGTTTAGTTTAATAACCTCTCCTTAGCCTAAATGTAACCTTGATCACTCCCTAAGCTATCTGACCAGATATTCTGTTTAATAGCAGTGCACCTCACATAACACTTTTTCTCATGGATTTGCGGTGTGTTATTTGCCTGATATCACGGCCTTGCTCTGGCTGAGAGTTCCAAGGTCATTCATTATTGCATCTGTGCCTCTAGGGTGTCCAATGCTTAACTTCATATGCAACACTTTAATCCTACGCAGGATAGACAGAGAAAATCTTTTTGCTGTTATTGTATTCTGTATACTACCGATATACTGAAATGAGTAGTTGTATACCACCCACATCAACAACCAGTAATGTTTGTTAGTCAGGTCAATCGAAGTAATCCAAATGCCGGACGGCCGTTTCGCTCATTTGGGGCTAACTTAGTCATCGGTGTATTCTGTTTAATTCAGGCCAGAGTGCCGAATCAGTTCAAACCATCCAATTTCTTATGGTTAGCTACATAGGTGAACTGGCAATACCATTAATCATATTCTCAATTTGTACTGCAGATTAGCTGGGCTCAAGATGAACGAAACGTCTATCCGATGGTTAGGTTACTTTGATCTAGCTAGCAAGAACTACTGGTTGTCCATGTGGATTGTCTACAACTTATCATCGTGATCAATCTAGTAGTGTAAAATGTCTAATCCGGTTGATTTTCAAGTGTTAGTTCACTCTGAATTTGTTGACTGCAAGTTAGAGTAGGGACCAATGAGAACCACTGCCGATGAGTTTCGAACTAGGACGAAACAGCTGTCTAGTGCCACCTCGTTATCAATGGTTCTCTGTCTGATTTGATCGAGTCTAGCTGCGAGAAGAAATATCAAGTTTGACCACCGATTTAATATCAGTTAGAGAACGATTGGAAACCAGCATGCAGTGCTGGACAGCTGTTGCTTCCTAGTTTGGGACTCCTCAGCAGTAGGCATCCACTGGGGTTCGAACCTGGGATCTTTCAGTTACATGGCAAGGTCATAGACCTTCCAGTTACTGGGATCTTATTCAGTGGCCCATAAATCTCAGCTTTGAACTAGTCGTCACTTTAGCGTGACTACCAACCAGTGTCATCGGCGAGTATTTGTCGTCCCTCAAGACCGAGTGGCCTCCTACTGTCACGACTTTTCAGCAGAACTCCAGTCAACTTCTTCCTATAGCTAGTCGCCACCGCTACAGACTGATATCAGCCGATATCATTGGCTGGTGCCAGCCACGTAGAAGATTCACGAATTGCTAGAAGTACGGATTCATGGGCTGACAGTTGAGTTGGGTCCTAGTGGCTGGGTAATCTACGAGCTTGTCTTGTAAACGGAAGGTTCTGGATTCGAACTCTTGTGGTAGTTGCGTGCTGCCGATGACCCTCAAACTAGGACAAAACAGCTAACTGTGCTGTACTGCCTGCTAGTTCCCAATGCTGCTCTAACTGATATCACTCTATAGTCAAATTCCTACAAACAAACTCTTCAAAAAAGGAAAAGTATGCTCTTCTCATAGTGTGTTGATGGTTCATTGGTAGAACGTTCGCTAACCATACCATATGTGGTTCTTAGTTCAATTCCCTACAGACACTCCTTTAAACCCCAACTAGCCATTAGTAATTCCAGAGAAGAGGGTACGTTGGAGTGTGTGAGGCTAGGTATGTTAACTTGTAGAAAAGATACAATCTCTAGTGAAACTCCAAGGTTCCAAGCCTGAAGTCCTGTGTTTCTCTAGGAAGTCGTTTAATGAAAAACACATACTGAACTAAATGCACATGAACAAAACTGGTAGATCAGTGGGAGAACTCAGTCTTCATCAACTTTTTCAGAAAATGACTATTCTTTATTCACAAAAACTGGAAGACATCCAGGCGAAAACCAATAAAATGACAGAAGAAGCGGCAAAGCCAAAAGTTCAGTTGAACGTACAGAAGATGAGGTGATCAAGATAACCAACCGACTAACAACAAAAACGACAAGCACCAATTACTATCAGTAGAAGAAATTTGAATCTACACTCAGCATAAGGAACAAGATTCGTATTTTCAACACCAATAGCAAGTCGGTCAGTGCTTCTTCCCTACAGGTCAGAAACTTGCACTGAGCGTGAGTCACGAAAAGGATTTCCAACAGCCTGTCGCAAACTTTCATCAACAGCTGCCCAATTCGCTGACTGGCTCCATACTGGAGATCAAATGGCTGGCCAGAAAGAATTAGTAACAAGAAACTCTGACTGGGAACAAACTGACCAAGAGCCGACTGTTGAACATATATGTAGGAGAAAATGGAGACGGATCAGACATATGTTGAGGAAACAGTCAAATGACATCGCGCGCAATGCAGGCCATCATTCGAGTGGAATCCAAATAGGAAGCAACGAGTGCGTCATCGGTGCGAGGTTGACATGGAAGAGATCGTGTGAGCTGGAGGAAGAGATGGGAGAGTTTGGGCGATCGTCGAGCTAGCCAGCTGTAGAGGATGGCAGAAAATAAAAGGTAGTGGAGATGTGTTTTAGAAGCCCTATGTTCCACTCGGAACCCAAGGGAACAGTAATAATAATACAAGAAATTTGAAAGTGGTCACTTCCTTCACCTACCTAGGAGGCATAATTTCAACTACAGGCAAACAGAACGGATGAGGATGTCAAAAACAGGGATTGGAAAGGTGTGAAATCCGTTTGGAAATACTTTGCACTCAGCACAAAAAAATGATTTCCAACAGACTATTGAATAATTTATACTCAAGATCAGATGGCCAGAAAAGATCAGCAATAGGGACCTGTGGGAGCAAACCAACCAGGAACAGACTGTGCAACAAATAGTCAGGAAGAAATGGAGCTGGATTGGCTGGCCATACTCTGAGGAAACCATCAAGTGAGTGACATCACTAGACAAGCCATCGCTCGATTGGAACCCGAAAGGGAAGCGGCGAGTTGGTCGTCAGTGCAAGAGTGGGTGACTTGGAGGAGGTCATGTGAAGAGGAGATGAAAGCGTGTGGGCAGACTTGGAGCCAGGTGAAGACTCTAGCAGAGAACCGAACGCAATGAAGACGCGCGGATGAAGCCCTATGTTCCTCTAGGAATTAAAGGAAACAATAATAATACTGAATAACTTAATCAATAGCTGTCTTCGCTATCGGCGGACTGAATATCAGATAGCTGGCCAGCCTGGAAGAATAAGCAACAAGAAATTCTGAAGTGGAACAAACCAACTAAGAACCCTTTACTTAGCAAATATGGAGAAGAACACGAAGATGGACTGGACACCCAATGATGAAGCAGTCGAATGACATCGCTGAAGTGAAATTCGAATGAGAAACAACGCGTAGGACGCGGAAGAGATGATAGACTATGGGATATCGTGGGGCTTGCTAAAGAAGTGTGAAACAAATAGGACAAAAGTGACGATAGTGCTATTGAAGCCCTATGTGTTGTTTCACTCGAAACCCAAAGGAACAACACCGACAACGATTCATACCGAAATATAAATTACAATGAAATATCATTTTAATTTCACTAACTCACCATTTAAAATTGATAGAAAATATAAGATAAAATATTCTCTTTATTATTACTGTTATTGTTTCTTGGATGAATTATTCGCAGTATATTCATTTGCTCCACCAGTATTGCTCGAAGTTATTATAATCTCATCATCGTCATGATCAATATCCTCTTGGTGTTCCACTTTAACTGAGTGTATTTCAGCTTTTACTCGAGTTGTTTCATTATTACTGCTTGTTATATCTTCACGGATATTAGCACTGTTCTTATTCAAATAGTCATTCTCCCTGGGGTATGTTACTACTGATGAAGTTGAAGTATTAGTAGTATAATTCGCCCTGTTACGATGTTGTTGTTGTTGCTGGGGATGATGAGAGTGTGGAGGGTGTTTTTGTTGGTCTTGACTAACAGTTGGGGAATCAGAACTCGGTCTATTATGATTATTATCAGTAGTATTGTTAGTAGTATGAGATGGAAAATAGTATGGAGTCGCGGTTAATACTGTACTGGTTGTTGATGCCTCTGAGCCATATTCAGAATTTGATGCAAGCTGTTAATAATAAGTAAAGTGTAAATGGACACAAATATAAGATATAAAACAGTCATTTATATATAGATAGATAATTTACCAATAAATATTTCCATAAACTTCATAAATGTTAAGGTCGATTTACCGAAAGCCAACATTCACTGGGCAGTACACTAACTTCAACAGCTGGGTACCGTTAGGGAGAAAGAGAAATCTTATTCATTCCTTATGCTCTAGAATTCGTAAAATCTGCTCTGCAGAGACAATCGATAGTGAACTAGATAACCTTCGATCAAATCTCCCTAACAATGGATATCCTACAAGGTTTATCGAACGTAACATCAAGAAAGAATCCGCCCCTAGACAAATTACAGTGCCAAAGAAAAAAAACTGTTTATGAGTCTGGCATTCAAAGGTGACACCATTTCGGAATTGATTAAAAATCGTTTATCTAAATGTATTAAACGCACTTTTCCTGCAGCTGACTTGCAACTAGTTTTTACCAGCCGAAATATGTTTAGACAATGCGTCAAGGATAGATTACCGCTTTTGTCCACACCTATGTGCATTTACTCTTTTACCTGCTCCTGTGGAGCTGATTATATCTGACGTTGAAAGTGTACTCTCCGAAAACGTGTAGCTGAACACTATCCGGTTTGGTTAATGAAATGTGAACGTAGAACTGCGAAGTCGTCTATTTGTGATCACCTGTTAGAGTCTGGTTATTCAGCCCCACGTGATTCATCCTTCAAAGTTATCTACATGGCAAAATCGAATCGATCCAAAAGTTTACGTTTTCTTCACTTATGCATAGCCAACGCTTTAGCTTTGCATGAACAGAAACCTAAATTATGTGTTCAAAAACGTTTTGCCAGACCCCTTTCTTTACCTTGGTCATAGTAATGTTCTTTCTAGTTTTTATTTTCTTTTATTTTACCATTTTAGTTCTTTCTACTTCACTTCACATCTTCATTCTTATCGTAATCGTACTCCTAATATTTTAAAATTTTAAGACAACACTTGACATTCAAAAAAATAATATTTTTGATATCGATTCACTTATAAAACAATCTTTAATAATTTTGTAATTCATCTACTTCAATTCTACCCCTTATAACATTTTAATTATCGTTATTCTTATCACTTATATATGTATATTGACTGAACAGTTATTTAGTGCCACTTAATAACCTTTCTACTGCAATATAAATACGATTGTACTGCTTGAAAATGAAGTCGTTGAAAAGAAATTTCTTCGCTGAACAAAAAAACTATGTTTTTACTTTTAAATGTATTCCCCTTTATGAATTTGAATAAAGCAAGAACAACATTGATTTGTACAGAATAAGATGGGACCATTACCGTTATTTTTGTCGGATTCTAATCAACTGCTCCCCGCGTAAAGAAATCATCATTGAGTTTATCTACGCAAACAATTTTAACCTACTTGTCAGTCGACACAGAGAGTTCAAGTTTAAACAAAAATTCAGTGTAAGCATAAAATCGTTGAAGCCAGAGATGAAAGTGGGAGTGAGAGATAGAGAGTAGAGACATCCAGTTACCAGGATGGACAAAGAAAGGCTGATAAGTGCTTCTTTCGCAATACACGAATCGTGTTTCAAGCATTTGATAGCGACTGTTCTGCTAAACCTGAGGATGACTGGGCTGTTTGTTTGTTCCTTTGAGACAATGTAGGCTTTTCGGTACATGTTCAGGAAATTAAAGGTGATTATATTGCGGGAATAGTCAACAGAAGGTTGAATACGTCAGCAGCCAGAGGCTATCCTGATCAGGATATCTCCATTGATGATAAGAAACGGTTTAAAGTAGTGGTTATCTTGTGATTGGACGAAATTGGTTAGTTGTAAAATCCAATCATCTTTTTCTTACCTTGATCCTGGTCCAATCGCCAACCAATCAGAATAATTTTGTTTTCCATGGACCTAGCCTGAATTATCCACCAATCAGGACAATGTTTTTTTCCTACTGCCCTAAGCAGATTTCAATGTGGTTAAAAATATATAAATATCACGCGCGCGTTTTTCCTAATGAAAGTTGTATTCTAACAGTCGTCGACCAGTCTTTGCCTTTTGACATTTACGTGGTTCGCTGAAGCGGAAGACACCACGGACGAATAGGCGTATTTAGTATGTCAGTAGAGTTGTTCATTGCGTCAGTATTACTATGCCCAGGCATAAGTTCAGTTGGTCATATCAACTGTTAGCACGATCATATTATTTGGCGACAGGTCCATGCCAATTTCAAGTTTGGTCATAGTGTGATGTCAGTTAGGGAGTAATGGACAGCTGTTTCGCTCCAGTCCGGGACTCATCGACAGTACGCATCCACCGGCTGAGTTCCAACCCAGGACCATCCGGTTACGAGGCGAGCTTTTGGCCCATGAATTCCGACTTACGCAAATTCGCGATAGCGACCGCCAGTCACTGTCAAAGGCGAGTAACTGAGCTCCCTCTTGACCTGGTAGACCCCGCTGGTCACATGCGTAATGATGAAGAGCCTCAAGACAGGGCGAAACACGTTAGTAGGAAGGGAGAAAACGCGTAGATATGGAAGTGTGATGCATTTGAAGAGATATACCGTCTGCATTGATGGATTTGTGCACAGCTGCGAAGACTGCCGAATCAGGAAATCAGTTCGAGAAGGTATACCGTTATTTTTCTTAAGTTTATGGATGCTGTAAGTACTTTCTTCCCTGGGGAAAAATGTATATGCAGACAATCCCTGATCGTAGTGTTTTTTTCTACCTGGCACAACCAGTGAAGTGTCTACAGCCAAATGTCATCCGTGGGTTATATATTCACAACATGGTCAATCATGCGGACGATTTCGTTAATCCTTTCGATGGGACTCACATAAATGCAATGGAAGATTTCTGGAGTCACTTAAAAATGAAGGTCACAGCGGTGAGTAGGAGGGTCAAGAAACATAATGATTTACAGTTATCTAGACGAATTTATGCGCAGAAATCGGTTTAATCTAACTATGCGAACCCTTATGCAGAGAAATTTGAAGGTTTTCTTGAAATATACACAAGGACTTTTCGCATTAAGCACTTTTAATTCACAAGCTCATCTGATTGGTCGATGGAGATTTGTCAAAGTCTTTATCAGGTAGTTTAATTTTATGCTGTTACAGTTTAGAGTCACCCTAGTTCCATTACAGATTTGAGAGATTGTAAAGTAGCTTAAAAATCCCCATTGAGTCATATGAAAAAGAGAAGACGTTCAGTGAAGAGACTCTTTTCGACGGCGAATTCATTCAAATACCTGTACAATCTCATTTATATACAATTATTCTTGTGTGTGTGTAAATGAAGTTTGTCAAGTTTAGATAATTAATTAGGTAATACAATATTGATCTAATATAGAAACAAGGTTAATTAGACAGCAACTAAAGTAAGATTGAGATGACATAATATAAGTGACTAAAATGTTTCAACTTAGATCAGGGTAGCAACAGAGATAATTACAGGAAGAGACTAAGTAGAAGTGGGGTAGAGAATAATGCCATTTAAATTAGAAGTGAAATTGAGCAAATAAGTTGGATGACGTAACATAAATGACTAGAAATTGAGCGTTGGTCAAATCAGTAAAAGTGGTAGTGAGATGTAGAAATTAAATCGGGTGGGGGCAGAGAACAGGAAAGTTGAAAATGTAAAATATTACAACTGAAAAGATAAAATAATACTAATGAAGAAACAGAAAGAAAGAAATAGAATTTACCTGTTGGGTATAAAGATAGATTACGTGTAGTGCAAATATAGTGATTGAATGAACTTCTTCTGTATGCAGAGTTCAGGACTGAGCAAGTGAATTGCCATTGCTTCTGCAGTTTGAAGAAGTCTGATTCGTTTTTTGATGTGGTTGTGTTCTCTGAGCTGGATAGTTAATTTGCGAAGCTTTCATAGCCCTACTAGGCGACATCTTCAGCGCATACTTCAATTTACTGAAGTGAGCTTTTAGATTTCTCCACGAGTTTATTAATCATCTCTCCTGACCGGTGACCTTGGACGTGACACTTTGGTTGTTTTTGTGTGTTATCACACCTTCTAGGTTATTTGTATTGGTGACGTCATCAAAAGACAATATACCTCCAAGCCAACCTATCAAACCAAAAGCCCCCAAGGAAAGCACAAAGAAAGTCGCCCTTCCATATATAAAGGATATATCAGAAATCACTGCAAGACTCGTCAAACCTTTAGGAACTGAAGTCACACACAAACCAACAAAATGACTTCACTCAGTTCTATGTCAACCAAAAGACTCAACAGCGAAAGAAGATAAAATCAACATTATCTACAAAATAAATTGTAACAACTGCGAAAAGCACTACATTGATTAAGTGGGCGTCCCCTTTGTCTTCGTATCCACGAACATAAGCTAGCCGTCAGAAGACATGACATTCACTCCTTCATATCACTACATACAGACAACCACGAGCATCAATTCGATTGGGACAATGTTCACATAATTAGACCGAGGAAACAACAAGAATGCTAGAGAACTTTTAGAATCTTGGCATTCCAGTGAATCATCAATCAATAGACACATCGAGATAGACAAAATTTATCAACCGATAAGAAAGAAACATCACACACAAAGGGTCAAAGTTCAAGTCAAAGAAACTATGAATTACAGTATAAATAACCTTCAAGGCGTGAAAACACACAAAAACAACCAATCACGTCCGAGGTCACCAGAAGAGATGACTAATAAACTAGTGGAGAAATCTAAAAGCTCACTTCAGTAAATTGAAGTATGCGCTGAAGATGTCGCCTAGTAGGGCTATGAAAGCTTCGCAAATTAACTATCCAGCTCAGAGAACACAACCACATCAAAATCATCCACCTGGGCTACAAATCTTCTCCATCATATCTAGTCTGATTCATACCCTTTTAGGAAGGCTGCTTCGTATTCTGTAGGCAACTTTGAAGTTTGTTTGGAGTGTATCTTGGTGTTCAGAATCTATCACCTAACTTACTAACTCAATCTTACTTCAGTTGCCATCGAATTAACCTTGTTTCTACATTAGATCATTCTTGTATTACCTGATCAATTATCTAAACTTGACAAACCTCATGTACACACACACACACAAGAATAATTGTATATAAATGTGATTGTAAAGAGAGAGAGAGTGTTCACTACTCAGTTATTTCCATTAGATATCTGTTCTAAACACTCATTTGTCCTTATTCATCCTATTCCTCTGAAAAAGTGACAAGAAAAATGGACAAGTAGGGGAAAAGAAACAAGATATTCCGTGTTACCTTCTACATCAAGAAGTTAAGACATTCTGGTATAACCCTCCAACCCTTACTCCTACAATTCGTTAATTTTCGCATCCTGCCTGTTATTCTCTATTGTTCCCTCTTAGTTTTTCCAAGGCTACTGAAGAAAGACTATAACATATTACGCAGGATGTTAAAAGTTGTCAGCAGGGTAAGCAACATGCCACTTAACCAGCTTGTTAATATTCTGGTTGACAGGCACATGGACTCATGTGAAAAATGGGCCAAATCCATTTTATCTAACTCACATCACCCTCTTCATTCACAACTCTACCCTTGCATCTCATCAGGCAGAACCAGAAGCCTATATAGAAAACTATATGCTCGCACTAGCAAGTACAAAATCTCAACCATACCCTACTTAGCTCGTGTTCTGTGTGATAAAGAAAGCATTAGGCGCGATACCTATAATTCATTAAATAGTCAGTAGAACGACTGGATCTCGTCTTTCCAACTTAAATCATTTATATGTACAACATTTTCTTTCTTTCTTTCTTTTCCTTTTCTCTCTCTCTTTTTTTCAGTTATGTGCTGCTTAGTTTCTTTCTTCCGCTTACGCCAGTAAATATGACAGCATCTACTTTTCTAACACCTTCAAACACTGTTCAATTTTGGCTTTTTCTACCGACATGCCAGTGTGTTGTTGTAATAATGAACTGAGATTTCCTTAATCTATGTAGAATTCTATTTATTGATAATGTACTAACTGAATGCAATACTGTACTGCAAGTACTGTTTTGGAATAAAGCAAATTATTATTAAAAAAAAGAAATGCATGCAGAAACTACTTACAGTATGTCCGGAAGCAGATCTTCGATGTCGTGTTAATCGTGCTATCAGTAAGTCGACAATTTTCGGTTGAGCGGATTCACACTTTTCTTCACCAGTTGACTCTGTAGTGCGTGGTCTCTGAGTAGGGGTTCGGTCATTGCCACTTTCATTCTCGTTAATTGATGTTCCTGTTAGTACTGGACCTGTTAGACTGGATGACTTTACTAGTGTATTACTGTTATTAGCATCTCCAGTGGTTTTACTGCTATTTTTATTATCATTGCTAGATGTTAGCTTGCGTAGAACTGAACGTAACAAACTCAGGGGGTTACTGACGTTGACTAGAATCACTCCGTTGACTTCTAATAATTCATCGCCAATTTGAAGTCGACCATCCTTGAGTAGAAATTTAGCAAACATACAAAGTAAAATGGACATAAGTGAATTGTTATGAAGTAATAAGAAAGCATGTTAAGCAGTAATAAGTAAGTTACTTATAAACAGGCATTATTATTCCATAATGGATAAGATTTTATTTTGATAAATCACACAGTGGTGTTATACAGTAATATTAACTGATGACCACCTTTTGAGCACAAACTATTACTGCTCATAATCATATCAAGTCATTCACTCACACAACTTTCTTGCTTCATTTATATACATGAGTGGAATTGATGATTAGACATTTGAATAAAATCAGCAATATAGGATAATGTACATTCAGAAATAATAATATGAGTGTTATTGATCAAATACAATCAGATGGGAAATGACACGAGTGTTTTATAGTCATAATAAGTTACTTGTTGGAATGTTGTGATGTACGTGAACTGAAATAGAATTTTGAGATTATCCGCTATCCTATTCTGATTTGACTGGTGGTATTTGCATTGAGTCATTTCTGTTGCATGTGTTGTGTTGGGTGTAGACTCAATGAACCAGGCGGGGTTCAGTAATCAATCTCTCTCTCCACCTACCTATATTACTTATTAGAATTTTAACCCTCTTCCACCCAATTGTGTGGTTTAATGTTAATGCATGCAGTGCAATTGCTGAGCTTTTTTCTAAATTCCTTATCTTCTCGGGGTCAATCATTCTTACCTTAGCTAAATTCTTATGTTCCGACAATCTGACTACTCCCTGACCTACTAGTTTGACCTATGTAGAGCTGACCTCATTCACAGTCATTGCAGGGTATTTTGTAAATTATATTATTTTGCTAATTGGGTCCACCGGGTCTTTCAACCTACAAAGCTTGTCTCTGAGTGAGTTTGTGGGTTTGAATGCCACTCTAATTCCTACTTCATTGAGAATCCTACGTAGGGGTGGTCTCAGATGTCCCCTCCTTATATGGTATAACAGTAGATGACTTATATTCTCTCTTATTTATGTTATTACTACTAGTTACACGAATATTTTTATTTTGTTTCTGGCCTTTACTGATCTTCTTAATGAATATTTTAGGGTAGTTATTCAACACCAACGCTTCTTCTATCTGTTTTATTTCATCATTTAGGTCTTTTCTTGTGCTACTTAGTGCTATGGCTCGGTTTGTTAGACACTTAACTAAGCCTGCCTTAACGGTTAACGGATGAGACGAATTAAATTCTAAATATCTATTAGCAGAATGCGTTGGCTTTTTATAAACACTAGTGTGTAGTTTGCCTTCTTCTATTCGTTTTATCTTACAATCTAACATGGTTAATTCTCCTTGTTCATTTTCTGATTCAAATGTGAATTTTATTCCTTCTACTTGTGGGTTTATATGTGTTAAGAAGCTAGAGATATGTTCTGTTTTTAACACTGTGAATGTGTCATCCACATCGAGTCATCGAGTCTACACCCAACACAACACATGCAACAGAAATGACTCAACGCAAATACCAGAAATATGGAAGATATTATTATCACCAGTAAGCCAAATCAGAGGACGATAATAAATAATCTTGAAATTCTATTTCAATTCAAGTACATCATAACATTCTAACAAGTTGCTTATTATGACTATAAAAACACTCGTCTTATTTCCCATCTGATTGTATTTGATCAATAACACTCGTATTATTATTATTATTTCTGAATGTATATTATCCCATATTGATTTTTATTCCAATATCTAGTCAATTCCACACATGTATATAAAGGAAGGAAGAAGGTTGTGTGAGTAACTTGATATGATTATGAACAATAGTTTGTACTCGAAACGTGGTCTTCAGTTAATATTACTGTACAACACTACACTGTGTGATTTATCAAAATAAAATCTTATCCATAATGGAGTTATACTCTGCCACAGTGCCCAAGTTTTACACTTTTATCAGTAAGGCATTATTATTATTATTATTATTGTTCTCTTGGGTTCCAAGTAGGAACAACATAAGGCTTCAACAGAACATCTCCACTTTATTCTATACTCTATAGTCCTCTATAGCTAGCCCTAAGATTTCGCACAGTCTCTCATTTCCTCCATGTCACCCTTGGACAGACGCCCAACTCGTTGCTCGTTTCCCAATTCGGTTATACTCGAAAGCGTTGACGTGTACGGAAATTTTGACGGATACTAACGCAAGTTTGCGTACCTATGACTCCAAGAGTATTTGTTCTGTGTAGACCAAGAATAAAAAAAACACCAAATTGATCGTCCAAAGTACTAAATAAAATTTTTTTCCCTTCATGTTCCTCAGTGGAATATGGGGCTTCAAGCTAGTGGCTTGAAGTTTCTGTAGCATTGTTTATTTTACAGGATGCGGTTGCTATCCTCATGTCCAACCTTTCCTCTTCACAAGCATTGACTCTGGCTTAGCTAGGTAAAGGAGTGCGTTGGCGGCCGGGGATCGAACCCCGGACCATGTTCATGGTCGGCGAGTGTTCCAACCGCTATGCCACCGATGCACTCTAAATATAATATGAGATCAAAATCGTAGTACGAGGATGATTGCTTAACTATCTATGGATAGCGGACAAATAAACGTGACACGACGGTGTGCCAAATGGCTTCTATACTTGACCACAAGCCTTCATTTAAACAAATCGACTCAAACAGTAAAGGTCAACATCCAGTGGTGAGTGATGAATGCTGTAGACTAATAATTTTGGGGAATTATCTACTATTGCTGCAGGTTCTTTTAGGGATTTTGATTAGCGTAAATTTAAGTTGAAACAACTACCTATTTTGCCTTGGTTCTTAATGATCTCTAGCTGATGTTAGTTCGTGGAGAAATCTGCAATTGAAATCATTCCCAATCCCTACAAAAATCAATAACCTGAGTAGATATCTATCTAAATTTTGACCGCAGATTGACATCAGTTAGAGAATCAATGAAAAAACTAACAGGCAGTACTGCATACAGATGTTTTGTCCTAATTTGGGGCTCTTCATAGTATGCATCCATCTCCCGGGGGTTCAAACCCAAAACCTTCTGGTCACATGGCAACCTCATAAACCATTCATTTAGCCACTGAGACCCAATCCAATGGCCAGCCTATGAATTCCAACTCCTGAGAATTTAAAATATTAGGTGGTTAGAGGCAGTCGGCGGGAAGCATTACCGGGACTTGGGTTTCATGTCAGTTGGCACTCAGCAGTCAGAAAGGCACTTACGTCTCTTCTGAGATTCGAACCCGCTTCATCCACTGCTGCAGTCAGAGACGTTACCACTGAGCTATTCGGGCTAGCGATTGACCTCCTGTTGGACTGTATTGGATATTTTTTTGACTGGACACTAGTCATTAACTAGTGTAATGTGTCTAGTCCTATCCCCGGTGCAGACTGAATTCTATCAGTCAAGTTTCAATTCACGATATAATGTGATCACTAGCCAATAGTCATTGGCGAGTATTTGGTCCTCACACACGTGCCTTATTCAGGTGAATTGTTACCTGGGTTCTAGTAGAAAGTCGTGACCAATTAGTGAGGTACATCAGGTCGGGTGGGAGGACAAATACTCTCCACTGACGACACTGTCTAGTGCCAGTCTTGATATACCAAGGGTTGGTAGAAGTTGGAATTCATGCGCTGGTCATTTTATCGGTACCCAATAGCTGACCTGACCTTGTAACTGGAAGATCCTGGGTTCGAACCCCTGCAGTGGATGCATACCGATGAATCTGTGGTCAAATTTAAAATCGAATAAAATCCCTACAAAATAAATCTTGGCAAGTTAAACAAAGACACCAATACTCACTTTATGCGCTGCTCCACCTTCAATAACACATTTAACAATAACACCACCGTAGATAGAATCAGCAAGACATGCATCAGCCCATGATGTCGATGTTGATGTTGACGAGGATGATGATGAAGAAAATGTATAACTGGCTTTATCATCACTGGAAGATTTTGTACCTGGTTTCATCATTTTTATCGTATTCTGTGACAGCTCATTCAGTTTACTTGTTCTCGATGAACTGGATTCTCGGACACTGACGCCAAGTCGCATTTGACGTAATCCTGCTGCAGAGATTGTCGTAGTGTTAGGATTGTTACTACCAGCAGGGGTATCAGTGCTGGTGGTGGTAGTATTTGATCTCGAAGTGGATAAGGCTTTACTTCCATCGGTGTTCTCTTCACCAACAGGAATCAGAGGGATGTATAACCGAAGTAGAATCACGTCTGGATAAGGCTGAATAATGGAAACAGTAAAGAGTGAGATGAATTTCAAGAAAATACGGAAGGGATTTACAATAAAACCAAGAATAGAAAATGGATTTTTGAAAAAATTGACACACAAACTATTGATACCTTATTATTATTCCCTTTATTAAGCATGAAAAGATTACGTCAGCCTAACGTACGTTTGAACTGCCATCACACTACATTTTACAGAAGGTATAAACGTATCTATAAGAAGATACTGGCCGAGATCTTGGTTACATCGACGTCAGCGGATGCTGTCACACCTGCTGTCCTTCCTGTGGATGTCAAGCCGTCTTCAGTGAATACTGATACCATGACCATTGAAACCGAGGTAGTGCCATAGCCAACTTGTGGTAGCCTAACACCAGCTGCCAGTACTTCAAAAATGTGCCCACAAGTGTCTTCTGAACGTGATGAAATGATAAGTATTCTACTCAAAATCATGGTTACCACGATCATATCACAAGCAGACTGTAACAGAATCTTGCAGATCTTCCATGAGAGATTGCCTCAACTACCAACAAAGAAACAGTTGCTTAAATATATATAAACATTTGAAAAATTTAGATATGATAGAGAATATTTGTAGCTCAGGTGGATGATTGTGATATGGTTGTGTTCTCTGAGCTGGATAGTTAATTTGCGAAGCTTTCATCACCCTACTGGGTGACATCTTCAGCGCATACTTCAGTTTGAAGTGAGCTTTGAGATTTCTCCACGAGTTTATTAATCATCTCTCCTAGTTGGTGACCTTGGACTTGACTGGTTGTTTTTGTGTGTTTTCACACCTTCTAGGTCATTTGTATTGATGACATCATCAAAAGACATATACCCCCAAGCCAACCTATCAAACCAAAAGCCCCCAAGGTTAGCACAAAGAAAATCGCCTTACCATATATAAAGGACATATCAGAAATCACTACAAGACTCTTCAAACCTTTAGGAATTGACGTCGCACACAAACCAACAAAGTCACTTCACTCAGTCCTTTGTCAACCAAAAGACTCAACAGCGAAGGAAGATAAAACCAACATCATCTACAAAATAAATTGTAACAACTGCGAAAAACACTACATTGGTCAAAGTGGACGTCCCTGCTCTTTGTCTTCGTATCCACGAACATAAGCTAGCCGTCAAAAGACATGATATCCACTCCCTCATATCACTACATACAGACAACCACGGACATTAATTTCGACTGGGACAACGTTCAAATATTAGACAGAGGAAACAACAAGAATGCTAGAGAAATTTTAGAAGCCTGCCTGGTATTCCAGTGAATCACCAATCAATAGACACATCGAGATAGACAAAATTTATCAACCGATAAGAAAGAAACCTAACACACAAAGGGTCAAAGTTCAAGTCAAAGAAACAATGAATTACAATACAAATAACCTAGAAGGTGTGAAAACACACAAAAACAACCAATCAAGTCCAAGGTCACCAACTAGGAGAGATGATTAATAAACTCGTGGAGAAATCTGAAAGCTCACTTCGGTATATTGAAGTATGCGCTGAAGGAAGATGTCGCCTAGTAGGACGATGAAAGCTTCGCAAATTAACTATCCAGCTCAGAGAACACAACCATATCAAAACTTGAAAAATTCAAAACTAACCGGATAATTTGGATGATAAACACGTTCAAAATTTGTACATCCATCATAATATGAAGTGATTGGCAACGGTGGAGAAGTACACTTTCGTGTTATCCTATCTGATTGACATTCAAACCATATGGGTGGCTTTCCTGAAGCAGGATTACAACATTTTAACATTCTAGACGATAATTGATTAACAACACTAGGACATTGACATATACAATTGGATTGGTTTAACCAACTGCATGTAGGATGATAATCTTGTGAATTGCTCAACTGACACAAATGTACTTGACGACGTACTAAGAGATTGACAATACTACCGATAGGTTTTATCCGGAGAATAGAAACTATCTGAGCTTGAGTTTTGCCTATAACATCCAAGTGATCAATCTGTAGAAAATATTTAAAAGTAAAAAACAAAGAAAAAAAAGTAGAAAAATATGAGGGTAAATTGAAATCAAACTGTGTAATCGCTAATGAATTACAGACAAAACCATGAAAGTATCATCTGCTAACTGTGCAGAAATAATTAGATCTCAGAAAAAATAGAATGAAATTGTTATGTTTTGCTTTACGTTGAGATTGAAATAGTTATGAAGAGTTGGATAGAGACTCGCGCTTATCACGACTACTGCTTGACTGCGCCAACAATAATGTTATACGTCGGTTACCTGTTGTTTCCCAGCCCTTATTGTTTAAAAGAGAACATACAGTAATAATGTATGATTCAAAATGTCACCAATGATGTGTCAGTTAGTCTGAAATCATAATCAATAAAATAGTGGGCGTTATTCTACTGAGGCTAAGCTCTGATTGGCTTGTTTCCAGACTGGATATTGATCACTTAAGTTAGGCAATTTTGATTGGTTAATTTTCAGAATGGACCGTATCAGAAATAATGACAATATGCAGAAGTTTACTTTTCAAATAACCATCGTGAGCGAGATGACGGGCGTACATTGGACCAGCAAGGAGACTGTAGAGAACCTAAACTTCACAAATTAAACTCGAAGACCTACAGGCGAAAACTGACAAGTTGGCAGAAGTGGCGGCGAAGACAGGACATAGAGAAAACGTAGGTGGTGGATATACCTAAACAACAACAGACATCAATCATCATGAATCGGAGACTTTTGGCAGCATCATCATCATCAACTACAGGAAGCGAATATGAGGATCTGAAAATCAGCGAGGATCAGAACAGCAAGAGAAATCTTCATTGATTTGATGTCAGTGAGGAAATCTGCTGCAAGATCAGAGTTTTCGACACCAGTGTCAAGAGAATTGCTGCATGCGCGTGTCATAAAAGGCATTTCCGACATGCTACCGCTGAAAACATTCAGCAAATGCCTAGGATCACTACTGAAGATCAGACAGTCAAGAAAAAAACAAGGATTAAGGAGCTCAGCAAATGTTCAGAAGGAAATCGATTGGATATACTCTGAGGAGACTTCTAAATGACGTCACGTACTAGACATTTCTGAAGGCGTGTGGAAGAAATAAGGCTTACGGGCAATTTTGAAGCTCGCTAAAAGGGACTGCGGAGAATAGAGTGAAATATCGGTGTACTGCAGCAGCCGTATGTTCGACTCGGAGCCCAAGGAAATAATAAAAAACAAAAATTGTAGCTTTTCAAATTTTGATGACTCGTATGATGGTTAGTTTAGTCTTTTACACGCTTCATCTGTCAAGTTCCTTAGAATAATTCGGTATTGTTGTAGTTTGTGACTCCGTATGAATTGGAAATATCTAATTTTAATTACTCTCAAAGGCACAATAATTAGACAAATTACAGTGCAAAAGAAAAAAACTGTTTATGAGTCTTGCATTCAAAGGTGACACCATTTCTGAATTGATTGAAAATCGTTTATCTGAATGTATTAAACGCACTTTTCCTGCAGCTGACTTGCAACTAGTTTTTACCAGCCGAAATATGATTAGACAATGCGTCAAGGATAGATTACTGCTTATGTACATTTATGTGCATACTTTTTTACCTGCTCCTTTGGAGCTGATTATATTGGACTTAGTAGCTGAACACTATCCGGTTTGGTTAATGAAAGGTGAACGTAGAACTGCGAAGTCGTCTATTTGTGATCACCTGTTAGAGTCTGGTCATTCAGCCCCACGTGATTCATCTTTCAAGGTTATCTACATGGCAAAATCGAATCGATCCAAAAGTTTACGTTTTCTTCACTTATGTATAGCTGACACTTTAGCTATACATGGACAGAAACCTAAATTATGTGTTCAAAAACGTTTTGTCAAACCCCTTTCTTTACCTTGGTCATAGTAATGTTCTTTCTAGTTTTTATTTTATTTTATTTTACCACTTGAACTCTTTCCACTTCACTTCACATCTTCATTCTTATCGTAATCGTACTCCTAATTTTTAAAATTTTAAGACAACGCTTGACATTAAAAAAAAAATTTTTGATATCAATTCACTTATAAAACAATCTTTAATAATTTTGTAATTTATCCACTTCAACTCTACCCCTTATAACATTTTAATAATCGTTATTCTTATCACATATATGTATATTGACTGAGCAATTACTTAGTGCCACTTAATAACTTTTTCTGTGATATAAATAGGACTGTACAGCTTGAAAATGAAGTCGTTGAAAAGAAATTTCTTCGCTGAACAAAAAAACTGTGTTTTTACTTATGAATAAATGGGTATTTTTCGAGATATATATCTGCATACAAACTATTTATTCTGGCGTACCCCAAATATTCATCAACCTTATTCAACAGCTGTACGACAACGGAACATGTCAAGTGATCCACAACGGAAAACTCAGCGAGGCGTTTAGAGTAAAGACAGGAGTCAGACAAGGGTGCTTATTATCACCAATGATATTCCTAATTGTGGTGGACTGGATTATGCGTCAGACAGTGGGAAACGAGGAGACAGGGATATCCTGGACCAACGTGAAGAACCTAGAAGACCTGGATTTCGCGTGTGGATTATTTATGTTTGATGTCACGCAAAATCGAAGACTTACAAGAGAAAACCGACAAACTGGTCGAAGAAGCAGCAAAGACAGGACTGCAGGTGAACATAGACAAGACGGAGGTTATGAAAATAACCAGCCACCACCACCACCAACAACAGCAGCAACATCCAGCGCCAATCACCATCAACAAGAGGGATTTGAAAGAGGTTACTACATTCACTTATCTAGGGAGCATTGTCTCAACTACACGAGGAACGGACGGACGAGGATGTCAAATTGAGAATCGGGAAGGCGAGAAACACATTCATCAACCTGAAACCAATCTGGAAATCATCGTCACTCAGCAACATCAACAACAAAAGTCGGATTTTCAATACAAACGTCAAGTCAGTTCTTTTACACGGATCAGAAACTTGGCGGGTCACAAAGAATATTTCCAACAGTCTGTTGCAGACCTTTGTCAACAACTTTATTCGCTGGCTCTATACTGAAGATCAGATGGCCGGAAAGAATCACCAACAAGAAACTATGGGAACAAACAAACGGAACAAGAACCAATCGCTCAACAAATATGCAGGAGAAAGTGGAGATGGATTGGACATTCGCTGAGGAGGCCGCTGGGTGACATCGCGCGTCAGGCCATTGTTCGAATGGAACCCGAAAGGGAAGCGGCGAGTGGGACGTCCAAGGTTGACATGGAGGAGATCGTGTGAAGAGGAGTTGAAACATTATGGACTAACATGTGTGCAGGTGAAAAGTACGGCAGAAGACAGAAGCAAGTGGAGACGTGTTTCATCGTCAACAGAATGAAAGATATTTTCACAATGCATTAATTGCATGTAATCTGAATAATCTACCAAGTTGATAGTAAGCAGCCTTACTATCACCGATAATATTTCTAATTGTGGTGTGTTGGACTGTGAGAGATGACAGGCATACTTTGGACCGATATAAAGACTCTGCAAGATCTGAACTTCGCACACGATTTATGTCCACAATTTCGAACACTTGCAGGTGAAAATTAACATGTTGGAAGAAGAAAGTGGCAGGGAAGACAAGACTTCAAGTGGACATAGAGAAGAAAGAGGTGATGAAGATAACCAACCAAACAACCAACCACCACCACCAACAGCAACAACCAGCACCAATCACTGTCAGCAGAATAAATCAGGAAGTGGTCACTTCCTTCACTTATCTAGGCACCATGGTTTCAACTGCAAGTGGTGAAATGGATGAGACTTTCAAGCCAAGAATCAGAAAGGTAGGACAGAACTTCATCACTCTGAATTCAGTTTAGAAATCTTTTCCACTTCATGCCAGTATAAAGAACAAGATTTGGATATTCAACACCGATGTTAAGTCAGTTAGTCCTACTGTATGACTGGGAAACTTGGTACATGCGTTAAGAAATGGATTTCTAACAGGCTACTGCAGAATTCACTGAACCTGTACTGAAGATCAGATGGCTGACCGACCAGAAAGAATTAGCTACAAGAAACTCTGGGAGACAACGAACCAATCAAGCCAAAACGAATGGAAATGGATTAGATACATCCTGAGGAGACAGCTGGGTGATATCGCTCACCAGCCCACTGCTCGAGTGGAACTCAAATGGGAAACGACAAGTTCATCGTCAGTTCGAGTATGACATGGAGGATATCTTGTGATGAATCGTAACACCAATCAGCTGAGGAAGACAGCAGGGAATAGGACGAAATGGAGAAGTGCTGTTGAAGCCGTATATTGTTCCATTCAGAACCCTACGTAACAATCATAAACAACAATATCAATGTTGACTAACTACTTGTAATGCAATTTTCTTTTTCTAGATATTTCACGCTTTCATAACACTTTTAAATGATCGGTCGGTCGGTCGGTTTTCGACATAGAACTTTACACATATGTGCGGCAGTTCAAGTCGCCACACTCACTCCATGTAGCACACAAAGCAAGAGAAGAAAGTAGAAGAAATGCATAATATAGTCAGTAAACAAAGGTGTGAGACAAAGGAATAGTAATAACGAAGAACAAAACAGTTTCATTGGAAATCATGAGCCACAAGAAGTGGATGCATCTGCGCCAGCCATCATTGAGAACGATTTTGAGCCATGTCACCAATTGTTTCCAACCATTGGCTTTTACCGTCCCGAGGACCCCAACCAGGAAGTCTACACCTTCCTACGTGGCTTAGACTAACTGTTGTAGATTTCATTGACTGGTGAAGCTATGTTTTCGTTTGACTGCCGCTAGCTCTTTTCTAGCCTGATCCTATATCAGCTATCATCGCTTGTCGGTCGAGGAAGGCGATGACTAGACATACGTAACACATGTCCTAACCATCTCAGTCGATGTAATTTCACAGCCTCGTTGATTGATTTTCCCTCTTTTCCTAGCGATCAACTGGCGTCTAACCTCAATATTGCTCACCTTATTATACCACTTCACGCGGGAGATAGAAAGCAGACACCTATGATCGAAGACAGCTAATCTTTTCATGTCTTCCACTCTCAATGGCCAGGTCTCACAGCCATAAAGGAGGATGGAGCGGACTGACGAGGAGTAAACACGCCCTTTGGTCGATAGTCGGATGTCACGTCTACGCCAGAGACGGCGTAAACTGACGTATGCGAAACTAGCCCTCTGTGTTCGTGCTGAGATTTCGTCAGAGATTAACCCATTGGGGCTGATGGTACTTCCCAAATAAGTGAAGCGGTCAAAGTGCTCTACCACTTCACTTCCTACTTCTAATCTAGGGGTCAGTGTAGTCCAATCCTGCAAGATCATCTTACATTTTACAGGGGCGATTTGCATGCCAAACATACGAAGATTGCTGCTCAAGGTGTTCAGTAGCCTCTGCATTTTGTCAGCGTCCTCGCCTAGAAGGACTATATCGTCTGCATATTCTAAGTCAACGAGATTATTCCCTGGTAGTAAGTCAATCCCTGAGTCTCTAAAGTGAGTTAGGATTAAGTACCATTAGTACGTCTATGATGAAATTGAATAGGAATGGGGATAATGGGCATCCTTGACGGACGCCACTAGTCGTCACCACTTCAGATGACAACTCGCCATAAGCCCTCACCTGGCTGCATGAGTACGAGTAAAGTGAGTGCCTTGATCAGTGCTATGTATATTCTTGGCATTCCCTTTACAGCCAAGCATCGCCAGAGAACCTCTCGGTCGACAGAATCGAATGCCGCCTTTAGGTCAAGAAATATAATGATTGTTGGACGCCGGTAGGAATGCCTATGTTCTAGAATCTGTCGAAGGGTGAAGATATGATCAATACACCGTCTTCCTGGTCTAAACCCTACCTGGTTTTCTTGTGTTTGTGCCTTTTAAATGATGCAAGCAACCAAGGTGTTATTGTTACTGTTATGTATCTTTCACTTCACCAATTTATACATCCTTGCTCTGTTCAGACACACAAAGGTATACTGGTGATTTCACATAATATAATAGTAATAGTAATAATAATAATTTTAAGTTGATTTTTTTATCAGGGCAATGGGAAGATGGAAATTAAATCTAATTATGCATTGCTTATCTTGTAAATATTGGAATATATGGCTCAATGACTTGAGTAATTGACTTCCAACCAATACTTTCTGGATTATATATATAATCTTATTCCATCTAAATTTTAGCCTGGGGGTAATTGAGCAGGATTATTAGTTCTCACTCACACAATGAGTGTGACTCATCGCCCTATATGAAATAAGTAAGTTTCTAACTAATTAACTGACCAACTTACTGTTTCTTTCTGTAAATCTGACTCATTTCACTTAAAAAATTTGACCACAGATTGATATCAGTTAAAGAACCATTGAAAGATGGCCAGAGAGTACCACCGGAGAGCTGCTTCGTCCCAATTTAAGACTCATCCCCAGTACCGAGCCTCCAGTTATTCTCGAATATTAATCTGATGCTCATTAGTGATTGGCTGCAGGACATAGTTGACTGGATTGTTCTAGTGAGCAATCATGACCAATTAGTGGTATCTACTCGGTCGGAAGTGAGGACAAATACTCGCCATGTATGACATCGGCTGGTGCCAGTTCCGGTGAAATCATGAAATGGTAGGAATCAGAATTCATGAGTCGGCCTATGAGTTGAGTCCCAGAGAATAAATGATCTATGAGTTTTCCTTGTAACCAGAAGATTCTAGGTTCGAATCCTAGCGGAAGCATATTGCCGATGAGACCGACACTAGGATGAAACAGCTGAGTGCAGTACTCCCTGTTGATCTCCAGTAGTTCTCTAACTGATATCAATCCGTCGTTGAGCTTTATTCAGATGAAATACTTACACAGTAACTCTTAAATGTCATTTTATTTTATTCACTGGTAGAATGCTCATCAGCCATGAGGCTGTTCAGGGTACGACTTCCTGCTGATGCAATTTTAAGCCTCTCGCGGGAAAGGGACATGGGTGAGTGTTAGGCTATCACTTCAAACCCGTATAAAAACAACACAAAATCATGCCTAGCGAAATTTCCGAATACTCTCGTGTTCTTAGATGGTTGAAGGTAATCGGCAGGAAGCTGTGGGACCTAGGTTTCGTGCTAGTTGGCACTCAAGTCAGCAAAGCGTATCTACAACCTTGAAGGAACTCATGTCCCTTCTGGGATTCGAACTCGCGTCACCCAGTGCTGCCTGCAATCAGAGACGTTACCACTGAGCTATTCGGGCTAGCGACTGACCTCCTTCCTGTACGACTGTATTGGATACTTTAATTGGACACTAGTCAGTAACTAGTGTGATGTGCCTAGTCCTTTATTTGGTGCAGACTGAATTCTATCAGTCAGTCAGGTTTGCAATGTGGCCACCATTCTAGGTAGCTCGCCATCACGATGCCATCACACTAGTTAGTTACTAGTGTCCAATCAAAGTACTCTTGTGTTCTGTTGTTCACCATATAATAATTAATAAAAGAGTGATACAGATAGGCGCTTACTTGAATCAATCTATCACCAATACGCAGTTGTCCATCTTTGATAGCTGGACCATCTGGTAGGATATTTTTGACACAAACAGCAAATAAAGCTTCATTGGGATTTGTCGATTTCAATGGAGTTGTTGAAGTTGGTGTTATTCCTGTTGTGGAAGACGGATCAGTCGATACGACAGGATTTCTTGGCTTTATAATTCTTGTAGTTAAACTGAATCCTAAACCGGAGGAGGCTATATTCAGTAGGGAAGAGAAGTGAAAAAAATTTCTATGATTACCCACAAATTACCAGGAGAAGAAACCTGACAAAATGAATATAATAAAGTAAATATTTCTGTAAGCCAGTACATCGCTACTTAAGACATTATTGAGTAGTATTTCATGCATTTATTCCCCTTGATGAATTTGAATAAAGCAAGAACAACAGTAAAGTGGTTTGTGCAGAATAATATGGTACCATCATTTATTTCGTTGGTTTCTCATCAGCTGCTTACAGCCTAAATAAATTATGAGGTTTGCGTACAGAAAAGTTTTAACATACTTGCAAATTTTTACATGTTGTCAGTTGACAAAAAGTTCCACAATAAGTGAACAGTGCTCAGAAAATTGCGCTTATATAGTTTTTACACAGGCAGTTCAAGTTTAAACAAAATAGATGTATGCATACAATGGTAAAAGAGTTACATAATAAAGACAAAATATGCGTTAGATACAGAGTGACTAATAAATTAGGTAACAATTTACTGAGTTCAACTGAAATCATAGAAAGAAGAGACAAGCAAAATTACAGATTATAAAAGGGGGTAAGGCTAAAGACAAAGATTAGGTAATCACATAAGCGAATACAGAAATCCAGTCACCAGGGCAAGAAAAGACTAATCAGTGCTTCTTTCTGAACACATAAATCTGCATTCAGGCGTTTGAGAGAGATTGCTTCGGCAAACTTGAGGAGAATGGAACTCCTTTGTCTATTGATAATTTTAAAGGATTTCTCGATTTCTACCTCATGACCCGTGTCAAGAAGATGTTTAGTAATAGCGCTACTATAAGAGTTTGTTCCCTTGAGACGTAGGATTTTCGGCACATGTTCAGAAAATCGGAGGTGTGCCCTTCTTTCTGTTCTCCCAATGTAACTGCTCCCGCAGATACACGTAAATTTGTATACACAGTTAGAGTTAACATGAGAAGGGTACCAATCGACTTTTGACTGCACCAAAGTGCATGTTGTTCGATGGACGGGAACCAACTTAGCTGCAGGATAGGCTCTGGCTAGTGACGTTCTTACTCTACTTTAGACCACTTCTGCGATGTTTTCACTTTGAAAATCTAGTTGGATGAAGACTGGCTTTTATCCAACTGTGATTTGTTTGGTGTTTGAGCCTTCACATCTTCCATATTTGTTAATAATTCTTTAAGGATAACCGTGGTTTTTCAGCACCTTTTTGAGAATCATAAATTCTTCTTCTAGTTTCTCTGCAGAGCATATTCTCCTTGCTCTATAGTACAGAGTCTTGACTAGTGCTAGTGTATAGCTATTTGGATGCTGTTAAACCCATCAAAAGTTTTATATTAGACTACTTTGTGAAAACAGGCCACAAAGCTAGAATTGAACAGTCTTTCTGTATCATCTATAGGGTACCGAATAAATTACCAATGGCCTATGGATACCTAACACTTTAAATAGCAGAGACCATTGAAATTCGCATAAATTAGCCGGAGCTCTGTGTGTGTGTGTGCGAAAGAAACAGGTTCAGCCAGCCACTCCTGTTAGCCTGGTCTGCTGTTGAACTTCTAAATTCATCCAATATTCAGTCAATTTAGCATTATATTAATGCAAATTTTCTCTCTCTCTTTGTGCGTCGGTGGCACAGCGGTAGAATGCTAGCCAACCACGCCCCATATGGACTGGAGTTCGATCCCCGGCCACAGACGCACTCCTTTACCTCACTAAGCCTGTAATAAGACTAGTAAAGAGGGAAGGTTGGGCATGAGGCTAGCAACCCTATCCCGTAAAAATAAACACCAGTGCTACAGAAACTTCAAGCCTGTATCTTGAAGCCCAATGTTCCACTGGGAATGTAAAGGAATAAAAGAAATCTCTCTTAGTGATGCTTAAGTGAACTGTAATCACCTATCGATACTATTGATTGATTCAGTGTAGTTTAAAATAGTAAGCATTAATGTTGTCAAATAAAAATATTCCTTTAATTATTCTGGTCTTATAAATATGGAACTTGGTGATGACAAAGGAGTTATCGTAGACGGATATTCTTTGTTCATCAACCTCAGTCTTCTAAACTTTTAATGGGCATCTTCAATCAACTGTGAACTGGTTTTTACCCATTTTGTGAATTCTGTGAAGTTCCCATCCACAACACCAGTTAAAATCAAGTGGAAATTCCTTCTGTGAATCCGAAGCGCAATGCGACGGATTTCAAGTGCGATCGATTCGTAAGTGGTCCCATAAATGACTAGGTAGGACCTACCAACCAACAGAAATCATGTCAATGTTTAATAGATCGTCAGCGACCAGATGGATAATTCAGATTTTTAGTAAGGTGTCTTAATCTCTGAGGTCAGATAAATGACTCCATTATGGATAAGATTTTATTTTGATAAATCACACAGTGGTTGTTATACAGTAGTATTAACTGATGACCACCTTTCGAGCACAAATTATTACTGAAGCTCATAATCATGTCAAGTTACTCACACAACTTCTTTCATTCATTCATATACATGTGTGGAATCGATTAGATATTGGAATAAAAGTCAATATGAGATAATGTACATTCAGAAATAATAATATGAGTGAAGATATAGGAATGACACTTTCACAGTGTTAAAAACCGAACATATCTCCAGCTTCCTGACACATATAAACTCACTAGTAGAGGGAATAAAATTCACATTTGAATCGGAAAATCAGCAAGGAGAATTAGCTATGTTAGATTGTAAAATAAAACGAATAGAAGAAGGCAAACTACACACTAGTTTTTATAAAAAGCCAACGCATTCTCTTAATAGATAATTAGACTTGAATTCATCTTATCCGTTATCTATCTGTGAAGGCAGGCTTAGCTAGGTGTTTAACAAACCGAGCAATAGCACTAAGTAGCACAAGAAAAGACCTAAATGATGAGATGAAACAGATAGAAGAGGCGTTGGTGTTGAATAACTACCCTATAAAATTCATTAAGAAGATCAATAAAGGCCAAAAACAAAATAAAAATAATGGTGAAACTAATAATGATAACATAAATAAGGGAGCATATAAGTCATCTACTACTATACCATATAAGGAGGGGACATCTGAGGCACTACGTAGGATTCTGAATAAAGCAGGAATTAGGGTGGCATTCAAACCCACAAACTCACTCAGAGACAAACTTTGTAGGTTGAAAGACCCGGTGGACCCAATTAAAGAAAATAATATAATTTACAAAATACCCTGCAATGACTGTGAGTGAAGCCAACTACATAGGTCAAACTAGTAGGTCAGGAGCAGTCAGATTGTCAGAACATAAGAATTTAGCTAAGGGAAGAATGGTTGACCCTGAAAAGATAAGTAATTTAGAAAAAAAGCTCAGCTATTGCACTTCACGCATTAACAAACAACCACACAATAGCATGGTGGGATAGGGTTAAAATTCTAAACAGTAATCTAGGTAGGTGGAGAGGGAGGTTGATTACGGAATCCTTATTCATCGAGTCTATAAACCCAACACATGCAACAGAAATGACTCAATGCAAATACCAGAAATATGGAAGATATTATTACCACCTGTCAGTCAAATCACAGGAGGATAATAAATAATCTCAAAATTCTATTTCAATTCAAGCACATCACAACATTCTAACAAGTTACTTATTATGACTATAAAAAGACACTAGTTGTATTTCCCATCTAATTGTATTTTGATCAATAACACTGGTACTATTATTTCTGAATGTACATTATCTCATATTGACTTTTATTCCAATATCTAATCGATTCCGCACATGTATATGAATGAATGAAAGAAGTTGTGTGAGTAACTTGACATGATTATGAGCTTCAGTAATAATTTGTGCTCGAAAGGTGGTCATCAGTTAATACTACTGTATAACAACCACTGTGTGATTTATCAAAATAAAATCTTATCTATAATGGAGTTATGCTTTACCGCGGTGCCCAAGTTTTATACTTATGTCAGACAAATGAGGTGTAAGTACGGTTACTCAGTGATTTTGAGCCGCTAACCGGCTACATTTTAATATATTCACAAAATTATCTAACGCCTCTCTGGGTGATTAGCCAAAAAGCTGTGAATGTGCTACCTCCAGACCCTAATACACTAAACCTAGTTTTAAGTCTAATCGCGGGCTGAGAACAATTAGAGCATCGGTGAAAACCAAACAGTATCTTTTGGCACTCTTCAGCAGTTCGCACGCGTAACTCCACTCATCAGGGATCGGACGCAGTAGCATAAGATTAACTGGTGAGCTTGTAGACCATGAATTCTGACTTCCGTCATTTGGTGATATTTAGTACGATCATCAACTAATATCATTGGTGAATATTTATTCTACCACTCGACCTGGTAGTTCCCACCGGTCATGACTTCTCAGCATAACTCATCCTATCGTCAGTCATTGGTATGCAAGAGTTTTACACCCCGGAAATGATTTATGTGAGTACTGATCTGTTTGTCTCTCAGTCTGTCTGTCTGTCTGCCTTTCTGTCTGTCGCAATGAAGGAATTTGAAAATTAATTCTCGATTTCTAATTTACACAGTTCGAAGAGGGAAATTTTCACCGGAGCTCCCTTTTGGAAACCGAGATTATTCACATCCTATGCACCATTAAAATGACAATCAGGAAGGCAGGCATAATTGCATGGTCCTATCACACAGCGTGATGCAAATAATTTGAGTTTTCAGAGGAAACTGCATAAATTTCATCTCTTGAAGTGTGTAAATTACAAATCGTGAATTAATGTACAAGTTGAGAATTTGTTATGTAATTAAAACTGAAATGTTTGTGATTATAATCATAGTTAAATGTCAAGTGGCAAAGCAAATTAATGTCATATATAGAATAGTACATAGGATGGATATAACTTGAAAAAGGGTGTGCAATTATAAGATTAGTAGACAAATCGAATAAAAATGGAAAACGTTACGTAATATTGTGTGAAATTTAATAGCATAGAATTTAATGTTACATAAGGGAATTGATTTTGAATGACAAGTGGGACAAGTGAAATAATACCGGGGACAGTTGAAAGTGAGAGTAGTAATAGTAACAATTGACTTAGTAAGGAAGAGTATACAAATTGAATAGACAAAAATGAAAAAAATGAAAAATTGGTAGAGCTAAAATATGATTGGGGATAACCATACTCTAGCATAGAGGGATTAAGACCATGAAAGTTGGAGGGGTTCAACGAACTTTCTCTGTACATAGAGATCTGGCTTTTCTGTTTCGATAGCCAAAGCTTCAGCAATACAGATGAGTCGGGTACGCAGGGATTTGGGTAAATTACTCTTTGCCTTGTAGATGACTTTGAAGGCGGAGGCTGTAGAGATAGGGTGATCATTATCGACCATATGTTCAATGATCGCGCTTCTTATTGCTCCACTTCCACCTTTTCGTAACCATGCAGGATAGTGTTCTTGCACCCTCTTGGACAAAACTCGTGTCGAACGACCGATATACCTAGGTCCATACGAGCAGGTGAATTGATAAACGCACACAGAGTTGGTCAACAGCGGGATCTTGTCCTTCAGGTTATTGAAACAGAAAAGCCAGATCTCTGTGTACAGAAAAAGTTCTATGCTATTAAATTTCACACAATATTACGTAACGTTTTTTATTTTATTCGATTAATCTACTAATCTTATAATTGCACACCTTTTTCAAGTTCTATCCATCCTATGAATTATTCTATATATGACATTAATTTGTTATGTAACCTATTACCTGTCCTTTCAAGTAGCTAACCAGAATGAGGTTCATTGCAGCTGATTTAGCTGTCTAATCTGAGTCGAATCAGGGAAATTGCTAACATCTAATGATGAACTCGGTCCCTAAGTCAGCGAAACTATTGTCCAGTAGTAGTGGCGCCTAGCAAGCACCACCGGATGGCATGAGTAGTATCAAACTACTTAAATGAACTAATCAGTAGTATGTAACATTCGACTTAAAGTTCGAGTTTATGTATTAGTGAGTAGTAATCAGTGTAATCATCATAATAAATAACAATGATAAATTCACAGCAGTCATTCATTGTGGATGTGAAAGTGTATTGTACGTGTGGGTGTGTGTTTGTAACGGGAAGAGAGGAAGAAATAACTATTGCCTCGTATTAGTCACATAATTGAGTATTTCGTACACTGAAATTGGAGCCTATCTCCCCCCGAAATTAAGATATACAAATATAACAGAGTATGAATATAATAGTAAGGATATAATAGAGAAGATTTGTAGCTCAGGTGGATGATTTCCAATTATTAGTGTTCTCTGAGCTGGTTGGTTTAGTTGCGGAGCTTTCGTCGTCCTCCTGCTGGACAACATCCCCTTCAGCGCAATTTTTAGCATTAACTGAACCGATTTAAATGTTAATATAGACCAAATATACCGACTAATAAAAAAATAAATCATGTAACGAGAAAGTTTAAAATCCAAGTCAATAGAAAATGATCAATACATATGTTACCGGGATGGTTACCGGGAGACGCCATTCTATTATTCATGCAAAATTTCAATCAGTTCACTTTATGCTAAACATTGCGCTGAAGGGGGACGGAAGCTCCGCAACCAAACCAACCAGCTCAGAGAGAGCACCAGTAATTACAAATAGTAAGGATACTTACTTTGTGTGTCTGCGTGCGTATGTACATTAGGATTGTCCAACGAAAATAAAAATTAGTTAGGATTATTATTTGCTTCATCGAAATGTTTCAAAATATGTGATAAATAATCAAATTGTAACTAGGGGGGGGGTGAAGATTAGTAAGTATTGACCAGAGTTGCATAATATGAAAGGCATCCAGAAAAATAGGATGTTATTGTAATAGGTAGAAAGAGTAAATAAAGGGTTGGTCAAGAAAAAGATGTTACTAAGGTGTCACACAAAAATTCAAAGGAGAGTCCTATTAAGAAAGTTGTAGAACTTCGAGCTATACACAAGGCAGAAGGACAGGATGAAGGAGTTTCTTCTGTGTATGCATAAATCAGGGTATTCTATCCTATCTGTACGAAAGGTTATTAATAGCTGCCACCCATCCATCAAATTTACAAGTGAGGCAGAAACTGAAGAGAAAATTTCATTTCTGGTCGTCTGATTAACAAAGAAGACTGATGAGACTCAGAAAAGATCAATATATGTAAGACCTACGTGAAAAAGCTAGCTGACCAACTTTTACAGTTGGGTACCCATCAATCGCAAGCCGAACCCGATGATATCTCTTGCGGCCAGAAACTGTAGAATAGGCAGCCCCAAATCAGTAGAAGAGGAGATCACTCCTCTGAGGAAGACACTACTCGAGAATGCCTATCCCCCTACCGCGCTTTACAGATAAACACATAAAGCCAAAAATCAACAAAGAACAACCCACCTCTATGCTGAAGAAGGCAAGGCTGCCTACTATCGCCAATGATTTTCCTGATTGCAGCACACTGGATAATGCGACAAACAGCAGGCAATGAGGAAACAAGCATAAAATGGACTCACACATAAAACTTGGAGGATCTGGACTTCACCGATGATATAGGTCTGATTTCCCACAAACTGGAAGATATGCAAGTGAAAAGTAACAAGTTGGCAGAAGAAGCATCCAGAGAAGATAGGACTTTAGGTGAACATAGAGAAAACAGAGGTGATGAAGATTCTTGGCCAACACCATCAACAGCAACAACAACAACAACTGACAACAATCAGCATAAATGGGAGGAACCTGAAAGAAACTACCTCCTTTATCTACCTACCAATCTGGGAAGCATCGCTTCAACTACAGGCGGAGCTGACGAGGATATCAAAGCAAGGATAGCGAAAGCAAGACAAGCTTTCATTACTCTTAAGTCTGTGTGGAGGTCAACAGCACTCAGTATGAAAAATAAGATCCGGATTTTCGACTCCAATGTGAATTCAGCGCTACTTGCTGTACGGATCAGAGACTTGCACTGTGCGTCATAAAGAGCACCTCAAACAAGCTACAGACCTTGATTAACAGTTGTCTTCGCTCAATACTCAAGATCAGATGACCGGCCAGGAAAGATCAGCACCAGAGATCTCTGGCAATGAGCGAACCAACCCATCAGGAACCGATTGTGAAACAAATAGGCAGGAAGAAATGGAGATGGATTGCTGGCCATACTCTGAGGAAACCATCAAGTGAGTGATATCGCTAGACTAGCCATCGCTTGAGTGGAACCCGAAAGGGAAGCGGCGGCGAGTTGGTTGTCAGTGCAAGAGTGGGTGACTTGGATGAGATCATGTGAAAAGGAGATGAAAACGTGTGGGCAGACATGGAGCCAGGTGAAGACTTTAGCAGAGAACCGAACGCAATGGAAACGCGCGGCTGAAGCCCTATGTTCCTCTAGGAATTAAAGGAAATAATAATAATTCTCATTAGTTTCAATTTTGGCCACCGACTGATATCAATTACAGAACCATTTTGAAAACCATCGGCAGACTACTGGATACTTGTTTTTCCTTCTTCGAGACCTTCCCCTTCGTCATCAGTAGCATGCACCACCAACAGGGATAGGACCCAGGACCTTCAGGCTGAATTGCCGACAAGCTTGCCTCGTAACGTGAAGATCTTAGGTTCGACCCCTAGGTGGGTGAAGTTCTAGGTGCATACTGATGAAGAGTGCCAAACAAGGACGAAATCACTGTCTAGTATTCCAGTGATTTAAAAAGTACACTTATAACTTACATTTTTGTAATGCTATTAAAATATCTTCCTCTTTGATACACTCCGGTGGACAGCAGCAATAACAAGATGAACAAGATGATAACTGTGGTGGTGGTGTCATATCATTATAATCTGATAATTTGGTATCTACTGATGATTGTAAATGAGGATGTGAAGAAAGTAAGTATTTTTGACTACTATTATATGCGTTAGTAGGAGTGGTATTCGTAGTATTGCCAGCAGTATTATGATAATCACACTGACAGCATTTTATGCCCATTTTATGCGTATTGAGCATCTCTGATGGCGTAGTAATACTAGTGACTGCAGCCAGTGCCATTGCATTAGCAGCTGCTCTCAGACGATCATCTCTTTCTAGACCAGCTTCCATTTCAGCTAGTAGTAGATGTCGACGAGCTTCTGATTCTCTTCGCTTTGATAACAATTCAGTCATATGGATGACTTCGGCATCAGCATCTCCATGATGTGTTAAATTGCATGGACAATAGTTATTCATTGAATGCAGTTGACTCATAGCTGCATTCTCTATACGATGATTAATTGTATTGTGTGCAGATGGGGAGGAATGAGATGGATGTTTATCTTTCGTGGGAGTTTTAGTTGGGGTGGTGTTCGTGGCGGTCGTGGTGGTGGCAGTTCTTTGTTGTTCACTGGCTTCACAGAGATAACTGCTACTACTGTTGACGATATTCATAGGAGTAGCCGTAGCAGTGGGACTGGCAGTTACGGTAGTCACTCGACTTTCATTTCGGCTTCGGTTACTGTCATCGATTCTATTCAAACAAACTTGTTGATTTTCATTCTCAATAGCATCATTATGGACGGAAGAATTTTGAGCTTGAGACATTTTCATTCTCGATTGATCATCACTGAGGGATGATTCATCTGGTTTTGTAGGCGTATTACAACTGTGGCAAGAAAAAGAAAGGAAGAATAAAAAATAAATGAATTACTTATAGCGTTTAGGCCATGAAGCTTCACTAAATTAGCTGTCACTGTGCCCTGCTACAACTGAATATCTTCTGAGGAGGGATCACGACTAAATTTGCTTTTATCATCAAGAATGGAAATCATTTTAGATTCGTAGTCACTTTCATTCATAATGACGACTCCAGAGCCTTTATTAGGTTTCGTAATAATTATATTAGAATTTCCCCTTAGCTCTTTCAAAGCTTTGAAATGCTGGGAATTTAAAATACTTTTCTCCTTTGGGTTGTTGTTTAAAAACTGATGAGCTATATCCACCATCTTGGCCTTAAACCAACCCCGATCTTCATCGGATGTTGCGGTAAGAGGTTTGAGTTGGTCATGTAAGTTTTCAAACTCAGCATGGATGGCTAAATCCGTAAATTGCGTGCGAGGAACACAAAATTTGGGTCCAAAGGATAATGCCTCTTTCTGATGAGTAGATAGAGTATTATCAGAAAGATTTGTAACATACTTATCAGGATTCACCGGAAAGACATCTACGCGGTTTCGATCATCAGTTGAACTCTTCAACTTATTTTGTATATTCGTCTTAGTTATCTGAGTAACATCTTTACAAAACTGAAGAAATTTCATGTGGCATATTATTGATAATTCAGATAAAATAAGTGACACACCGGTATGAAGAACAGGTAATCCTTGTAACGTCTGTTTAACATTTTCGATATGTGACTTTGTAAGACGAACAAGATTAGAGATATTTGGTTGTAATTTACTGAATTTCAAAGTTTTAGAAAATTTCCTCGGGAAGGAATGATTTTTAATAACTAATTCATAAAATTCCAACGTGTTACGTTCGACGATAATTTTACACCTAAGGTTAACAAGTTCATCACTCACGTATTAGGAAGCTTAGTAGAGTAAATTTCCATACCTATTTCAGATTAATAAATACATATCTCACATTTTCGATCCTGTTTGGCTTTCACGCTGTCATCCATACCGCATGTATTTGCAACGATGCTACCATTGATGGTGATTAGTGATTATTGTCGGTGGTTTGTTGTCCTGATTATCTTTGTGTTTTCTTTGTTCCTCTGAAGTCTTTGTCTTCACTGCCTCATCTGTCAACTTGTTTTTTTCAAGTGTCAGTTCGCAGGGTTTTGATTGGCTACAGGATTTCATCATGAGCTGACAGCGGAATCATTGAAACCATTGGAAAACCACTTGAGAGTACAGCCAGACAGCTGTTTTGGCCTATTTTGGCACTCTTCAGTAGTATCTACTCACCATCAGGGTTCGAACCCTGGACCTTCTGATTGCTAGTTGAAATCGCAGACCACGCAGCCACTTGGATTGTCTTGCTCCTAGCTGACGTCATCTTTGGCGAGTATTTGTCATCACACACGACATGCTCTTTCCCAATGGTCAAGACTTCCTACTTGAATCCAGGTTTATGAGCTCGCCTTGTATCTAGAAGGTCCTGGCTTCGAACCCCTGTGGTGAGTGGGTACTGATGACGAGTCCAAAACTAGGATGAAATAGCTGGATTTCCAATGGTCCTCTAACCTATGTCAGCTCTCGTTGGTTCTAGCTTACGGATCTTCCAGTCTGTATGACATGACACATAAATCCTCCACAAAATCCAGATCATGTGAAAATCGATACAGGGATAAATCATGTAGGACGTCATGCTTACTTTTTCATATACTCTCATTGTGTGAATTTTGTCAAATAAGAATAAGAACTAATCCTACTAACGTAACTTTTCAACAGAGAAAATATAGGAAAATACATCGGAAAACACATGTTGAATTTACCTTGTTAATGTAGTTTTTGGCGATCGTTTCGGTGGAGTTGGTTTACGCATGACTGTTGTTGTTCCTGCTGTTCCTGCTGTCGTAGTGTTAGAATCCACCAGATTATTTTTATCATTTTGAATTTCATTACAATGTGGACATCTTTGTAGGCAAGAATTTACTTGATTTTCTTCTGAATTCGATGTTGTGGATGTTTGTTGTGAATTGCCAACTAGCTGACAAACATCTGCTGTCGGCGGTATTCTAGATAAAGTTGTTGATGAGGATTTCAGTGATGTAGACGGTGAGGAGGATGAAGATGATGGTAGTGGACAGGGAGTGTTGTGAGCAGATTTATGATGATCATGTTTGTGTTGATCTCCTCTTTGTTGATTGTGTTCATAGGGATGAATACAATTCACCATTGATGTTTCATATTTAGAGTTACGATTTACTTCGTGAGCATTGAGAGAGTTACTAAAATAAGAAAGTCAAGGAGAAGTGGAAATAAATATTGATATTAGTGATAACAGCAATTGAAAATATTTCTTTCCTGTGGTTGTAAATTTAAACCAAGCAAACAACCGTCAAGTAAAAACAGTACTTAATGAATTCATAAATTTCGGTGGTGGAGGGACTCGTCATCTGAATACTCCTCTACAAACATTGTTTTGCACACAGTTTTCAAAAATTGCTTAGTAGGGATTTTGCTTGATTGGTTGGAGGAACCAATGCAAAACCTAGTTTGGGACTCTTCATCAGTACACACCCAACACCATGGTTCGAGCCCAGGAATTTCTGGTTACAAGGCTAGCTAGCTCGTAGACCATTCATCAGCCACTGGGACCCGATCGAATGGCCAGGCCATGAATTATAACTTCTGCCAATTCATGCACGACATAGAGGGACCACTTCGAAATGTCTTCTTCGATGGGTATCTGTCTTCACCTTCAACTTGCTGTATCCTACTGGTCATGGCTTCCGACTAAAATAGTGTTAGTCACTAGTGAGCATCAGATCAATTTTCAAGTATTGGTTTTTGTAGGGATTTTTGTTTGATTGGTTGGAGGATTTCACTATAAGCTGACATAGGTTAAAAAATCATTTATGCATTTTGATTTTAAAAGTTAAATACATAAAAACGCATAATTATAGTGACATCAAGGAACCTTCTTAAAAACAAGTAAATAAGTTTAGCAAATGTGTTAAACCATATAGAACCCACATAATAAGAATAAACATGTCTGATCTAACTAAACTTATGAGATAGTTTTTACCGCTCCTCACAAACTATGATTTCTTGACTTGCACATATCCTGAGAAAACTAATAATAATAATATTAATGGAAAAAAACATTTTTACGAGTTGATCACGGATTGATATCATATAGAGAACCATTGAAAACCAGAGAGTATTGGACAGCTGTTTCATCCGAGTTTGTGAATCATTGGCAGTACACACCCACGGGGGATCGAACCCAGGACCCTCCGGTTACAAGGCATAGACAAAATTTACCAATCGATAAGAAGGCAGTCTCACACACAAAAGGGCAAACTTCAGGTCAAGGAAACAATGAACACCAATAGCAATACAAGTAACAGTCTAGCGGGTATGAAAACACACAAAGACAACCAATCACATTCAAGGTGATCCGCCAGAAGAGATGACTAATAAACTCGTGGAGAAATCTAAAAGCTCACTTAAAATGTAAGCTTCGCAAATAAACCATCCAGCTCAGAGAATACAAGTACATAAAAAAACACTATCCTACCACATGGGTGTAGAAAGGGAGTAGTGATAACTGTATAAGGAGCGAGATAATCTAACATCTTGTCAACACTGGTCGTTTCATTTCAACAAAGCCCTCCTAAAGAACAACGTGGCAATACGCTTTCGTCTCCTTTGCATCGCGGAAGCTATAACCAGTCAGTTGGAGAAACAGGAGCTCGGCATACAAAAGAAAATTATTCGACAACTTCAGCTATCATGATAACAAACTTTCCGATTTCTACTGAATTCATTTTTCTTTGTTTTCCAACTCGTCAGAACTCTTACATAGTTCCGTATTTTCCTTCGCTTCTATCTGCACATCCTGATTACTACTCATTAGTCGTTAAATTATTCTGATTGGATGGAGGATTTCATCATGAGCTGACGTAAGTTAGAGAACCATTGGAAAACCTGCAGGGAGTACTGGATAGCTGTTTCGTCCTAGTTTGGGACTCTTCATCAGTACGCACCCACCGGGGCTCGAATCCAGGACCTTCTGGTTACAAAGCGAGCTCGTAGAACATTGGATTGATTCGCAGTGACTGATGAAAGGTTTACTAGCCCGCCTTGTAACCAGAAGGTACTGGATTCGAGCCCCGGTGGGTGCGTACCGATGAAGAGTCCCAAACTAGGACGAAACAGCTGTCCAGTACTCCCAGGTTTTCCAATGGTTCTCTAAGTTACGTTAGCTCATGATGAAATCCTCCATCCAATCAAACAAAAATCCCTACAAAACCAATACTTGAAAATTAAATTATTCATCTTGTAACGTAACTCTAGCACTATTTATTCAACTACTCTTATGTATTCATTGACGAATATTGACTGATAACTGTGATTACCAAAACTTATCACTTTTGTTACTGTCATCTTTCATGTGAAGGAGATTGTATATAAATCCAGCTGTAGAGTTAACCAGGGAAATGAATTTGCCGAAAGGAGCCTCTTCGGTGAGCTACGTTTTTTGTTTGCGCGTTACAAGAAGCATTTCCAACAGGCGATTGCAGACTTCTTTTAACAATAGCCGCCTTCATTCTATATTGAAGATCAAATGGCCAGCCAGAAAGAACTGGCAACAAGAAACTCTGACTGGGTACCAACCAACCAAGAACCCGACTGTTCAACAAATATTCCGAAGAAAGTGGAGATAGATTGGACACATACTGAGGATACAGTCGGAAATGACGAGTTGGTTGTTGGTTTGGGGGTGATGTGCAGGAGACTGTGAGATGGAGAAGAGGTGAGAGACTATGGGAAATCATTGGGGGATGGCCTTAAGAGGGTTTCAGATACAGGAAAAAGTGGAGATGCGCTGTTGAAGCCGTATGTTGTTCCACTCGGAACCCAAGGGTATAATAATCATCATTTACAATTGATTGGACACTAGTAACTAGTGTGATGTGTCTAGTCCTTTCTTTGGTGCAGATTGAATTCTATCAGTCAGGTTTGCAATGTGGTCACCATTCTAAATGTACGTTTATTTGATGATATTAGATGGTTGGAGGCAATCAGCAGGAAGCCTTGGACCTAGTTTTCGTGCTAGTTGTCATTCACCAGTCAGCAAGGCGTGTATCTGCAACCCTGCGGAACTCATGTCCCTCTTGAGATTCGAACCGGTGGCCACATTGCAAACCTGACTGACTGATAGAATTCAGTCTGCACCAAATAAAGGACTAGGAACATCCCACTAGTTACTGACTAGTGTCCAATCAAAGTATCCACTACAGTCCTACAGGAAGGAGCTCAATCGCGAGCCCAAATAGCTCAGTGGTAATGTCTCTGATTGACGGCAGCACTGGATGACGCGAGTTTGAATCTCAGAAGGGACATGAGTTCCTTCAAGGTTGCAAATATCCCTTGCCGATGAGTGCCAACTAGCACGAAACCTAGGTCCCGACAATGCTTCCTGCCGATTGCCTCCAACCATCTAAAATCGTTTACATTGTCAAGCCTTGAAATTTCGACATAGATTATGTAAGAGATATGTTTCATCCCTCTTATGATTCTTTTATGCTTATATCTGAGTCACATATTTAAAGGATTCCAGATGTTAGGTAGAGACAGAAGGAAATGTTTTTTCTCTGTTTTTTTCTTTTTTAATACAAATGTTTGTAATTTATTTGTTAAAATTAATATTCTTCATCCTTATTATACAGGTGTAGAATTTTTTTAGTTAAATAAGTTTATTGATTCAAAAATGCACAGTAAAATTTAGCATATAGTGTGAGCGATATTCAATGATGAATTGATGTATACCTAGCTGAATTAGCTAAAGCTGATTGTTTTTCTACGAGGCAGTTGAGGTTCAGCATTGTGGAGACTCCTGTGGGTCAGTGGTTCAGGCGTAGAATGCCCATGTGGTTCGGAGTTCGATATCCAGCCAATACCCATCTTAACCTTGCTAAGCCGGTAGTAAGGTCGGTGAAGAGGGAAAGCTGGACGTGAGGCTAGAAAACCCACCCTGTAAAAATGAAACTACGGCTACAGAAACTTCAAAGCTCTCACTTGAAGCCCTACATCCCACTTGGGACGTGAAGGAATAAAATAATAATTACAAGTTGAGGCAATCAGCAGGATGCTCACAGCTGACCAAAGTTTCGTGCTAGTTGGCACTCACAAGTCAGCGAGGTGTGTATCTGTGATCTTGAAGGTGGTCATTCCCACTCTGAGATTCGAACCTGTGTCACCCACTGCTGCCTGCACTCAGGGACGTTTTACCATTGAGCTATTCGGGCTAGATGTTGACTTCTTGTAAGACTTTATCAGGTACTTTGATTGCAAACTAGATATTAGCTAACTAGTACCATGAGTCCAGTTACCAACCATCCAATCTTTACCGCCAAATATATGGTCTAGCTATGGGCAGTCCACTTAGCCCTGTTTTAGCAGATATCTTCATGTCCAACATTGTGGGAACAAAGCTAAAGCATGCAGTCAACGAAACTAATTCTTATTGTCGATATGTCATAGATGACATATTTCTAGTGGGCTACAATGAATGCCAAGCATCCTGACTAGTGAAATTATTCCATGATGTCACATTATTATTATTATTGTTTCCTTTAATTCCTAGAGGAAAATACGGCTTCAGCCGTGCGTCTCCATTACATTCGATTCTCTGCTAGAGTCTTCACCTGGCTCCACACGTTTTCATCTCCTCTTCACATCACCTCCTCCAAGTCACCCTTGCACTGACGACCAACTCGCCACTTCCCTTTCGGGTTTCACTCGAGCAATGGCTTGTCTAGTGATGTCAATTGATGGTCTCCTCAGAGTATGGCCAATCCATCTCCATTTCCTTCTGCATATTTGTTTCACAATCGGTTCCTGCTGTGTTGGTGCGCTCCTAGACATCTCTGTTGCTGATCTTTTCTGGTTGACCATCTGATCTTGAGTATTGAGCGAAGACAACTGTTAGTGAAGGTCTGTAGTTTGTTTGAGATGCTCTTTATGACGCGCTGGCCAAGTCTCTGATCCGTATAGCAATTAGCACTGACTTCACATTGGAGTTGAAAATCCGGATCGTGTTTTTGATGCTAAGTGCTGTTGATCTCCACACAGACTTGAGAGTAGTGAAAGCTTGTCTTGCTTTTCTGATTCTTGCTTTGATATCTTCGTCAGTTCCGATGGCTTGTAGTTGAAACGATGCTTCCCAGGTAGGTAACAGAGGTTGTTTCTTTCAGGTTCCTTCCAATTTTGCTGATCG